ACCTCTCAGTATAGTATCTTGAAATAATATAAACTATAATTGATATATATATTTTTTTCTGATGGTTTTTAGAATGAGAATCAATTTAAAGTCAAGTTAAAAATCATGATATCAGAGGCCTGTGAACAGAGGAAAGATGGAATGTTACTCCCCTTCTGATTTTGGATTGAGACTTGCAATATAGAAATCATTAATCTGGTGAAGAAAACAGCTAGGAGGATGATATTTTTACTTCTTAGTTTAAAATCCTAATTAGTAAATTGGGCCTCAGAGACTTTTTTGAAGGAAAATTTCATCAATGGTGAGATATTGTAATTTATTGCTGAAATAGGGAAAATAATTCTGTTACAAAATTTTCTTGGTTCCTGCTTTACTTTATACTATTATTGTCTATAGCTAATTGTTTCCATATATATACTTCACCGAATCATATTAATCTGGTGATCCAAATAAAAACAATAAAAATAAAAAGCATCATATGGATGGATCTTCTCTTTGTACATGTCAGAGTTTTCTTCTAACTTCTATTCATTCTCTTTTATTCAGGCAGCAAATGACTGTGATCTTGAGCCTGTTGCGTATGAGTTTTTTACTCAAGCATTTATAATCTACGAAGAAGAGATTGCGGTAAATATCAATATTGACGTCTTTTAGTTTTCTAGACTTTTGGCAAAACAAAGAGCCGTTTCTCTGTTTTGGCTTTACAAACAAATTTTCCTTACCTAAACTACTTCGGTACTGTCAATGAAATGAGGTTTGCTTGATTTCAACAAATATTTGATGCAGTTTGCTTCCTTTTCTTTCCGTCTGTTGCATCATTTATTTTTCATCTAGGATTCCAAGGCTCAAGTAACTTCAATACACCTTATCATTGGGACCCTCCAGAGGATGAACGTGTTTGGTGTGGAGAACAGAGATACTCTGACACACAAGGCTACTGGGGTAAAAATACATTTACGTTACTTAATCTCGTGCCTTTACAAATGTCATAGCCTATCCTGAATTGTCATTTTACCTTTTGCCAGTATTCTGCGAAGCTCCTCAAGAAACCGGATCAATGTAGGGCTGTTTACGCATGCTCGCATCTCTTTTGGGTTGATGAACCAGAAGGCATTAAGGATGGAGAGAGGTTCTTCCCTCATGCTTGATTGTATAACTTTTGGCATGTTTGACTCTTAGGTTGCCTGGTTTCATAAGAAGAAATAACAGATTTTCTCCCCCTTTGTAAACAGAGTTCTTCTTTGCCTAAAGCGTGCCCTACGAATTGCAAATGCTGCTCAACAGATGGCTAATGTTACACGGGGTAGCAGTGGACCCGTCACACTTTTCGTTGAAATACTGAACAAGTTAGTATTTTGAAGCTTTTACCTCCTCTTTTATTTTATTTTATTTTTTTTAAATGACAGAATTAAGTGTCAAACGGAATTATTTCCCTTGATTGGAATACGAACGATTGATTTTATCCATCAATTCATATTTTCTTGCCTTCTAAAAATATCTTTCAACAATACCACCAGTTAAGTAGACCAAAAATATTACTTCAAACTAATTGATAACTTGTAAGTTACTGTTTATACAAATGAACATTTTAACATTAAATTTTATAACCAAAGTTGTAACTTGTAAGTTATTGTTTATACAAATGAACAGAATTTTAAATTTAAATGACAATTCGAGAGCTTTTTTTGTTTATACAAAGAGTTAACTGATTCCACTAGTTTTTACTTCAAACTGTTTGAAAACTTTTTTATAATTTCCTTGATCAATGGGTCCGCATGCTTCTTTTCTGTTGTCTGCTGTACACAATTCTAATAACTTTATAATTTTACTTCTGGTGACAAATGTTATCATAGAAACCAGTCCGGAGAGACCAAAGGTAATTCTAAAGAATTTAGAGGGAATGAGTTCAAATTATGGTAGACACCCACCTAAAATTTAATATCCTATAAGTTTCCTTAACAAAAAAATGCAGGTTCAAACAGTTGTCCTGTGAGATTAGTCGAAGTGCGTGCAAGCTAGTCTGGACACTCATGGATATAAAAAAAAGTTATTATTTTTTTTATATATTTTTTTGTTTTTAAAATGCACTTACCCTTTTGACCTTACTAACATTCTTCGAATAATGGAGGCTTGTTTTTCTCATTTGTTGTAATTATCCTCTTTTTGGAAAAAAGGGCCAATCTTTATAGGAACAGTTCTGTTACTTTATAATGGATACATACTAGTATATGAATATATGTTTATGCGGTTCAGGTACCTTTACTATTTCGAGAAAGGAAACCAGCAGATTACAAATGCTGCAATTCAAGGCTTGATTGAACTAATAACAACGGAATTACAGACCGACTCCCCAAGCACTACTCCTGCTTCAGACGCTTTCTTTACCAGTACACTTCGGTACATTCAGTTCCAGAAACAGAAAGGTGGTGTCATGGGTGAGAGATATGATTCTATCAAGGTTTAATTTAATCGTAAAGTTTCGAAAACTTCTGTGTCGTAAAGCCATTTGTTTCGTGTTCGGTCTGCTAAATATAGCTTGTAGTTTTGAAGGAAATTTTGTGTTTGTCATTCTATGTAACCCCTTGTATCTAATCTTTGTTTCTAATGTAGTTGGAAGGTAAATGGGAGCTCTTGTGTCATTTGTGACTGCCAGTGGGAATGTCTCACTCTTTTTTTCCAAACATTTCTTTTGTTTACTTTCAAAAGCAAAGAGCTTGTTTTGAACCGTTTTCACAATAATTTTCTGTTCTTGTTTATAAACTGTTTTTAAGAACTGTGATGGGATGTTTTGTAAAGAAAAGAAAAAAACATTGCATACTTAAATAAATAAATACATACATACATATATATATATATACACACACATACACATACAAGCTCATGATTTTGAAAAGGACAACAATTTGAGAAATTATTTGAAGGGTGGAAACTATATTGCAAATGGTTCTTTTAACATTCATTTTCCCTATTTCTCTCACTGCTTGGAAATTTGTTGCATCCTTAGACCTTAATGCTAAGGGTCAAGGGATTGCTATGAGTATGCTAAATATTTATTTTTATATTTTAATCTCTGCAAATTTCAAATATTATATTTTAGCACCTAAATTCTTGAATCCTTTATTTTAGTCTTAAAATAAAAACTTAAAGAGTATTTAATATTATAAATATTTTATAAGCCCACTTATGATACATACATATATATTTTATTTCCGTAATAAACACATAGATTGCACGTGACCTGTAAGAGATTTCTAACATATGAGGATCGTCAAGTGCGACGCTGGTTCTTTTTCAAGGTTTGATTGAATGATCTCGAGGAGAGAATCGAAAAATTTCAGATGTCTCTTGTCTCGTAAGACTACGTAAACAGGATGGTCTAAATCGTTTGAAGTAATTTATTTATTATTATTTTCCTTTTTTAATCCCATGAAATTAGATGGCCATAACATAACACTGCCTAGTGATTAATAAATAATGTTGGACCGAGAAAAGTAATTACCTAAAAACATTCTTATTTGTGATTGCACTGAATTACGAATGGAATGTTTCTATATTTCAGGAAAGCAGTGAAATTAATAGTCATTTAAAACTAAATTGGTAAAGTTACTAATTAATCGTATAATAATTTACATTAAATTCAACCAACAAAATATTTGAAATCATTTTCCAATAATGAAAATCAAGCGTACCCACAAAGTTAAATTGATAAATCACATTAGCAATAGAAAGTATAAATCCAGCTTTGCCTCAAAGTATAATATATATATATTTTACATACAATACCAATTCCCTCCATCCAAAATAATATAAATAATTAGTAACGAATCATTTAGAAAGAATCTTAACCAAGAGTGTTCAATTTCACCCTTTTCAAATTTAAAGCTCAATTTAATGAAAGCATAAAGTTTAACTTGACTTTGTATAAGGGGGAAAAAAGAAAGAGGAAAATCTCCCTCTCACTTACATGTACACAGACATTTTCCTTCAAAATTAAATATATCACTTCATCCCAATATTGCAATTATCTACATTGTATATCATATTGACGAAATAATTAATATTACAGTTTCTTTTTACATCAAACAAATAATTATACATATATTATCTTTAATAACATGCCAAATAATAATTAAAATTAATAATAGTTTCAAGTATTTATTAATAAACAATACTTACCATTAAAAAAGAAACACTTACAAGTTACAAATGTGATACATTCATTTTTGTTTGAAAAAGTAAAATGTAATACTTTAATGGCACTTTTAAAATTGAATGAATGAATTAATATTATTATTATTTAGTTTAACACTAGGTGGGGTAGGGATTCAAATTTTATAGATGTACTAAAATAATGAACTATGTCCAGATTGATGAATTTTTATTTATTTAAGCATTAGATATAAAGACTTTTTAAAATGATTTGATTTATTTTTAATTAGTTATTCTTTTCAATATTAAATTGGTAAAATAAAAAATAAATTGCTCTCAAATAAAATAGTAATAAAAAATTAAAATTTATGATTACTTTAAATAAAAGAATATAAACACTTTATTTAGTTAATGTCTATTTCAATTAGATACCATCTTAACAAATTACATGATTCTCATTTTGATTCTAAGATAATTTCTAGTCAACCAAAAAAAAATAATATTTTTGTTTCCATTCTTATCACTCTGATTTATGGTGGGCATATCGGAACTTAAAAAAAAAAAGATAAATATAAATATAAATTAAGTTAAAACTAAAAACAAATGAATGTTTTTCAAACTTTTTTTTTTTTGAGACAAATGTTTTTGAAACCTTGAGGAAGAAGGATACTTGAACTATTTAATTGGGAAGGACCTATAAATTTATTAATTTACTCGCGAAGCCCACATGACGTGGCGAAGAGAAAAGGTCGTGTAAAATGTAAATGTTTTCCCAATCCTTCCTCGAAAAGGAAAAAAAATAATAAAAAAAAGAAATTCCCAATCCTAACCATATTCGTTCAGCGACCCCTTTATTAAGTTTTGGCAGTCGTCTCTTGTCGGTAACGTTTGAAAAGAAACTTCGGGAGACGGAGAAACGCTAACGCATAATCAATCAAATCTCTCGATCGAAGCTTCATCGGAATGGCCAATTTCTCATCGGCATCGGCGATGCAGCACGGCGATTACGGTACTGCTCCATATTTTCAATACCCAAATCTCCAGAACCTTAGCCTTAATCCAAGCCCTAATCCAGTCCCCACTCCCCCCGATCGGAATCAGAGCGCTTACGCCTCCGCGCCGCCGTTCTCCACCAATTACGGCGGCTCCGATTACCCTGGTTATGCCTCTAATTATGCCCACTACTCTCAGAATCCCGATCCCGTTCCTGCCTCTCCGACTGCTCCCCTTTTCACCCCTCCGTCATCGAATCCTAATCTCCAGACCTTCAATCCCACTCCCCAACCACCCGCTTTCCCACCATTTGAGTCTCATGCGCCTTATCAACCTCCGTCTCAGCCTCAATCGTATCATTCAACGTACGACCAGAATCAGACGGCTCCTAACTATGCCCCTCCTCCACCTTCCTCAATTCCGGTGAATCCGAGCTCCAATTCTACCCCCAGTCCTAATTCTCCGTTCTCATCTATGTATTCGGCTCCCTTTGGCTCTTTGCCCCCGCCTGCGTATGAAAATCCATATGAAAGTTCGGTGAAATTTGATCAGGGAGGCGGATATGTTGATGATAGATATGGAGGTTATAGTCGAAGTCGGTCTGATCTTGGTCCGGACTTGTACGGTAAGCGGCCGGAGGACACGATATCACGCTTCGACTCCGCCTATGATGACGGTTTTGGCGATGGTGTGTATGCTTACCAAGGTGGCAAAGTTGAGCCTTACGGGGCTCGCGGTACAGCTTCTAAGTCTTCAACATGGTCTGCGGCGCCAGCTTTTGATGATTATGGAAGGCCGATAAATATTCCTCCGAAGAAAGACTCGTCGGCGACTTCACTTAAAGTAGTTAGGGCGACCCCTAAGGCGGATGCACAAGAAGATGTAAAAAGTTGGGTGCAGAAATTCCGAGTGAAGCTTTTGGCTGAAAGTGGAGGTCAGAGCACCATGGATGTACTTTGTCAGGTATGTCAATACAATCGCAGAATGCATTTGTCTCGATTTTGTTGGCCATCCTTTTTAGCTGTAGGCGTAAAAGGCAAAAACTATAGGTTTGATTGTTAGTATTATGCCTGGTCTGTAGCGGCATGTTCATCTCATCTTAAGGGACAGAAACTCTTTAGGCAAACTGCGGAAGATTGTGAATCATGAAGACTTAAACCCATGAAAGTCATCTACTGAGTTTTTGATTTTATGAGAGTTTAGGTTTCCTATAGAAGCGTTTCCACGCTTTTAATATTTTATTTTGGTGTATGTTCTAACATTATAGTATTAGGCAGATTGTTTAACTTGTGCCAGTCGTGTTTTCTTAGTATGTTCTTTATGCTTCTACTCTGGAGTTTTCTAGTCATTATTATTTTACCATCTCATTATTTTTTGCTATCTCTATATATTTTCTTTGCTTCAACATAATTAGCTCATAATTGTTGTTAAAGTTATTTTTATAACAATACGGCTTAGTTATTTACTCTCTTTTGTAATAATTTCCAGGTTGGTTTAGATGGCATTCGTATGCTTGATCCAAATTCTAATCGGACGTTAAGGATATATCCTCTTGAGACCATCACTAGATGTGAAGTAAGTTGGGATATTAGATTATTATTATTATTATTTTGGTTTCCTTGAAATTCTCTGCCATAGACTTACCGTATGGTTTTTTTATTTATATTCATAAGGTATATGATTCATCTACCCTGGCTTTCTGGTCCAAGAGCCCTGTGGATATTGAACCACGGCGTATTAGATTGCAGTCAAACAGATACACTACCAACACACTTCTCGACACGGTGACTGCTGCAACTGTACAGGTAATAATCTTTACCCGTTCCTCTTGGTTCTTGAGTGCGGAAAATGATTTGAAGTTTATTTATAACTTTTCGATCCTTTTTCTACCCTCTTGTTATTGCAAAATAAGCAATTATCCAAAATTTTAGCATTAGAAGCATGGTCTTTAGAATTAATACCCTGATAATCCGTGCCATTTGTGATTTCAAGACATTCTTAGACAGTAAGGAATTTATTTTGTCTTACCCGGTTGATGCATAAATGTATTTGTGTATATTATCACTTATTATGGTATGGTCAATGAGTGTTCTAGTTTTACCTTTTTTGGTCCTCTAATTCTGTGGCTATAAAAAGTAAAGGTAACCTTCTGTGAATGTGTGTACGGTGTACACATCATGGACTTCTGTGACTGTGTGTACGGTGTACACATCATGGATTCACTCTGATCAGTCTCTAGCTTAGATTCTCCCTGCATGATAATGTTGGCATGTCACCTTTTTATAGAGATTGAGAACCCTTTTCTATATGTTCATTCGCAGTTATTTTGGATATTGGTAGTTAACTAGATATAATTCTTTTACTGCTTTTTTCAACCACAGTTTAAGGAAATGGGTGGAAGAAGTAGGCCTTCTGATTCTTTTAAGGCGCCCGAGCAGCCTACAGAGAAGAAGAAAGGGTTGGTCGATTGGGTGAACCTGATAAAGCCAGGCAACGAGGAGAAAGACCATTGGGTATCTTGACAGATTTGTCATGAATTATCAGCTTTGTTGATTGTAAGATGTCTGAGGGTAAATCAACATTTTTTCTGTTTCATTTTTTAGGTACCTGATGAAGCAGTCACAAAGTGTACATCTTGTGGGACAGACTTTGGGGCTTTTGTACGAAAGGTAAGCTCATTTTCTATTAAATAATGGAATAAGGATCATCAGATTTCCATTGTTATGAATCTCATTGTTTCAACCTTGTACTCAGCATCACTGCAGAAATTGTGGAGACATTTTCTGTGATAAATGCACGCAAGGTAGAACAGCTCTGACCGCCGAGGAGAATGTTCCTCAAGTTCGAGTCTGTGACAGATGCATGGTATGTTATGTATATCTTTGATTTATTTGATACTTCTTATTTGTTTCTGGTTTTGATTATATTCATTAATCAGTGTTGATTGTTTTGTGCATACTCTATTGTAGTTGTGACTTGAATTTTACATAAAAAAATTCTTCAGGGTTGACAATACAACATGAAGCTTACTAAAAAGTTGTATTTTATATAAAAAGTTCTATAGGTCTAAGACTTCAATTCTTTTAGACCTTGCTATGTTTTTTTTTCCAGATCATGAACCTGAGTCTAAGAAATGATGGTTTGGTGGGATAATCTTGTTGTTCTTTTAAGACAAACTATAGAACTTCGTTAATCCTATAAAGACTATATATCCCATCAAGCCTGTTTTAGAGAAATGTCCCTTATCATGACTCTTCTTTTTTGTTTGCAGGCAGAAGTGACTCAGAGGCTCGCTAATGCCAAGGAAATGGCTAGTAAGCCTGCAGGGTTGCATAGTCACGAGGATCTTGCCAAAAAACTTAAGGTAGTAATGTTCTGTATCTCGCCTTTTCCCATGTCGTGCTAGTTAGTCTATTACAATTTCTTCTAGTTCAATCTTCTCTCCTGCCGACGTACTTGTGGGAGATTTGTTGTTCCTTATGCCTTTTCTTTTTCCCCCACTCTTGTTGTTGCATCAATCTAATTTTTGCTTTATTCTTCTATTATCGTAGGATGAAATGGATAAAAACCGTAGGTCATCAGGTAATTTCTTGTTCTTGAATGCGTTGCCAAGCTAAATGTTTCTCTGTTAATACACTGGTTGAAGCATATGGTTATTCAACCTTTTTCATCCACAACTTTTTGGGGTCCTTGTTGTGGAATATTTATTTTCTTGTTAGGAGAGTAGAACTAATGTTTCTGTCACTTTCATGGAATGCCGCAGGATCCAAGTCTGATGGATTTGGTAGCCGGATGAAGGAAGTTGCATGTCCTACTTGCACTGTTAATTTGCAGGTTTGACCCCTTGCATTGTTATTATTATTTATTTTGTTTATGCTTAAGAACTAGTCAATTTTATTGTCGCCAAAACAAATGTATCTGTAAGAGAATTATCTATGCGTAAGCATCCTTATGAAGTGTAATAATGATAAGCTTACTGGAATTTGCGAGGAAGTAAATTTTGAGGTTGATGTATGTATTATATGAACTATTGCAGGTTCAGGTTCCAAGCTCGGGTTCGGAGACTATTGAGTGTGGGGTTTGCCAGCATCCGTTCCTTGTGAGCGCTCACTGACTTGAGTGTTCTTTAGCAATGGCGGGTTCATAGAATGGCTTGTTGATTATGATATTTTCTATGTTTATGTTTCCAAATAATTGGGATTATTATTCGTTTCTCGCTCTCTCAAGTCCTCGAGCTTCAATAACTTTGATGTCAGCTCTGTGGTTTCATATTATTATTTTGTAAATGGAGTTCTCTGTGAAACACACGTCTCTTTGATGTACAAAGAAAATATGGTTTTTGAAGGGTGATATCATACGACTAAGTTATGCCCAAAATTTCCCATTACTCAAAATTAAGCTCATAAAATATATAGGTCTTGTTTGATAACGTTATCAAATGAGCCATTTGTTCATGATGTCAATTAGTGGTTGGTGATCTATGGTGTTGATTGATTATGAATATATAATACTATTTAGTCAGGTGTTTCTAGTTCTTCCGTCATGATTTAACTGGTAAATAATCAATTGTATAATTGTCAAATTACAGTCTTATATTATTCACCAAACATTGATAATAGCTTGATGATGGTAAACGAATTTTATTTTACGGCTAGTAAAAAGAACGACAACGTCGAGTGGAGTTGAAGAATTTTGAAGTTATGAAGAGTAAATTAGATCTTTTAGCCAATGAAATGCATGGATTCTTTCCTAATTTGAGGATGTTACAGAACATGTGTGAATCTATATATACATATATAAATATAACTAGAAACTTTAAAATATTAGAGAGAGTAAATCAATAACATTTTACATAATTTAGTTTTAAAAGATAAATTTTTTTGTCAATCGAGTTGAGTAGGTAAAAGCACATATTATTTTCTCAAAAGTCAATGTTCGCAAAATTTCTCAAAATGGTGCACAAAATTTGACACGTTGTATCAAATCAACTTATATTTGTTTAAACAACCTTTACGTCGAATGAAGCTTGGGTTGACRGGGTCGCTATCAAGGTAGAGACATCATCCGTTCATGGGAAACTTTATACTGATATGATATGAGGATGCCACAACCAAGTTGGCGTGGATCCAAGGTCATTCTAGCAACATTTTCGATTGTAGTATATCCGCTAGCACTATCTAAATAGCAATATTAATAATAAAGACTATCTAAATGTTTTCTTCAAAAAAAAAAACCTAAATGAAACTTTAAAATTCACAAAAGTAAATGAAGTTTTTTTTTTAATTTAAGGATTAAATATGCATAATTAATATAAGAGCCTATAGTTTAATCATAATAAGTTTGCCATAAAAAAAGGAGAAAATAAAATACTATAATTAGATTTGCTGAAGGGAGTTTAAAACTGCATTATATAATATAGTTTAGTATAAATATTTGTTTGGTCTCATACTTTCTTGTTTTATTTTGTTCACATATTTTCAAAATATTTATTTTTTACTTTTAAGTGCATTTTTTCTCTATTGTCTCTATATTTTTAAAAAGTAATCATTTTAGTCCTTCTATATTTTTTAAAAGTAATCATTTCATTTTTACTTTTATCTAATTTATTTTGATTATAATTACACTTCATTCACTAATTTTTTTTAGATATATTCATAAATTTGTATTAAATAAATTTTATTAAAGTAATCATTTCATTTTTACTTTTATCTAATTTATTTTGATTATAATTACACTTCATTCACTAATTTTTTTTAGATATATTCATAAATTTGTATTAAATAAATTTTATTAGATAAAAAATTTGTGTTAAAATTTTATGAATAGAAACTTTTAAAAAATGAAGTAACAAAATAGACGTTGTCAAATTAAAAAAAATAAAATGAAGAAAGTTGAAAAAGTAAATTTACTATTTCAAGCATATATTTTCCTCCGTTCGTCTCCTTCCCGCCCTTTTCGCAATTGCAACTCATTCGTTCCGCGAAGCGCAGAGTTTTCTCCGTGAATCCCAAAGAATGGTAGACGACGTTCTCGGGGAGTATGATCACATTGAAGAGCTCCGGCGGTGAAATGTAGAAATAGTAGATTTTTATATAAGGTCGTTGATTACTGCAACAAGCGTATCGAGTTCGCAAATAAAGATGATCCCGCCTCTTCTCTACGAAATCATTCTGGTTAGTCGTTCTTCTCTCTAATTATAGAGGTAGCAATTGTAAAAATTTTGAGTTTCCGCTTTCCCTAATTAGTCTCGACTGGTATAGACTTCCTTCACTTGTTGCTTGATGCATAACGGACCCAATACTGGAACAATATACCGAGAAATTAGTGAATTGGAACTGGAAGGGAATAGAATAGGTGAATTCTGGAGTAGGTTCTTGAAAATTTAAAAGAACACAATCAATATATTGGATATGATTGTTAGACTAATCGATCATCAGCAGTCTAAACGTTTTACGTAGTTTTTTCTCTTGTTTTCTCAACATCATGTTCAGCGCTAACTCGAGGTGATGCTGTGTTGGTTTTCTGTTTATGAATGAAACTAGGTTGTTAGGGGCTGTTCAAGCTGGTCAGACATCTAAAACATCGACTTTGTTTATTCAGAAGATAACATTGTTCAAACAGATGACTCGAGTATTACAATGTTGACCTGGTTATTTTCAATTTGTTCTGTGTTTTATACGTAATCTTCCAGCTCACTACTCTTACTAGTTACCACAAATGGACTACGGACACGATATTTTCCATTGGTCCAAGTTATTGATCCAAAGACATCTTTCTTCAGTGTGCCTACAGTTGAGGTGAATACCACTTGGTAACTCTGCTTCTGATTGTTCTTCGTGAACTCCAATTTCTCTGGAATCACTCTGACATCTAGTTCCCCAGCTGCGTCCACACTGACTGTGTAAACTGTTTCACCATTGCCACCCACATTTGTAACTGTTCTGCTTATTTTCTTGCTTTCCTTGCCTTTCAATTCGGACACTGCTATTGTTGGGTAGTTCATGTTGGATATGTAGTCGGCAGTTGGTTTTTTGGGGCAATCAAACCCATCAGGAACAGTTTTTGAGATGCTCTTGATGATCGACAGGTTATAGCCTCGGGAACAAAGGTAGTTTAAGTAGTCTGTTATATCGGTTTCGTAGACAAGTCCTGGTTGTAATGCTCCAGTCGTTGATATTTCTCCTGCTCCATAATCATAAGGTGTGGCTACCGATCCCGTATCCAGAGTCATTGGCGATCCCAAGTTATTTGTCTGGATTGCTGTAAATTTTCCCAGAAAATTGTTCATCAGTGAACATTCAATCTAACTTTAGAAAGATGGTCAAATCACAAGTTTACTCTTGAGCTTTAGTTCTTATACTTAAAATTCTTCGAATTAGTTTCTAAACTTTCATTGTTATCTAAAAGTTTCTTAACTTTTATAGTTGTCTTGTACTCAATAAGTTACTAAACTAGTAACTTATCTGGCCGTGTCATTCAATTGAACAAAAAGAAAGAAAAGTTTATTTCCTCATGAGGTTCCTTGCCTGTTGTCATAATAGCCGACTTGATAGCTGAGGGACTCCATGAGGGGTTTTTCGATCTAAGTAAGCCCACCACGCCGGAGACATGTGGGCAGGACATGGAAGTTCCCGAGATCACATTGAAGAGTGGAGGCTTTTTTCCTTGTGGAGTAGAGTTTGAGTCATTGCCAAGCCACGCTGCAAGAATGTTCACTCCTGGTGCAGATATGTCCGGCTGCATCAAGACTAACTCATACGTCAAATTTGGACACGAGTTTTTCAAAATTTGCAGAAGGCAGGCTGCCTCTTACCTTGATTATGTTTAGTATTGCGGGATTAGGTCCTCTGGATGAGAAGTATGCCACAGCAGGCGCTGGCTTATAGTTTATTACGGTAACAGTTGGTAGGATTGTAGCAGTTGGGTTCCTTCAGAAAATATCAAAATCAATTAGGCCATTGAAGATATGAGATTAAGGCTCTTCTCACATATAAATTGATTAAACTGAGGATGATTTCAATTTTTACCTGCTTGAGTTGGCATAGGAGAGGACCTCAGCACTATCCTTTTTGCTAATAGCTGTTATGTTAGAACCATCAAACTTCTCCGCAACTAATTTTGCTCGGTCATCAATCAAAACCATGCCGATACCTTCAAGACCCTTCACTGTTTCAATCTGATTTTGCCAATCAGAACCGCCTCCTTCTACACTGCTTTCGCATATAACTATCTTTCCCTTCACCAGAGCTTCGTCCATGGAGTCTTCAGAACAAATCCTAAATAAGGGGCATGACAGTCAGAGAGCTCATTAGAAAGCTTAGTGAGAAAGAGTAGTAGTAGCTACATGATGATGATTCATTTTCATCTCTTACATACCTCGCGCTGTCTTCACTGGCATCGGCTTTCTTGGCTGACTTGCCTTGTATCAGTGGGTATTCAGGAGTTTTTTTAAGAGCAGAGAAATTTATACCTTCTCCCTGCATAATTAATTTTGTGGAGGGGATGTTCTCTCTGTCAATTTATTTGAAAGGGTAAATATATGTTTTAGTCTTGTTGAGGTGGTTCTTCAATTTATTTTAACATTTTTATAGTCATTGGCGGATGATAAACTTATTTGGGATGAGTTGGTAGAAATTTAGAAGAATTAGGAAAAAAGAGGAGAATTTCTAAGAAGTTTTTTTAAGTGTGCTTAATTCTCTTTCTAAATTTTTTTGTCTCTCCCAAGTCCTAAGTAAGTTTTATCATTAGCTATTTGAAATAATTTAACTTAACATGGTTGGCTGTTTAATTGCAGTTGGATTACCTTGATCACTTTGTTGTTGCCCAACACAACATCAGACTCAAAATCCCGATCAATGGTGGAGGCAGCCACTGTTAAAATCCACGGCGCGTCGTTCACCACCGACCCCGAGGTGGGGCCGTCATTTCCGGCGGAGCAGACCACTACAATCCCCTTCTCAACTGCATGAAAAGCTCCGATGGCAATGGGGTCGTCCTTCGTTTCCTGTCTGAAGTAGTACGGTGAACCAAGCGACAGCGACAACACATCGACCCCATCGGCGATCGCATCATCAAAGGCCGCCATGATCGCCGACCCACGGCAGCCGTCGGTCCCACATACTCTATACATGGCGATCCTTGACCCTGGGGATCCGCCCTTGGCCGTCCCTGCCGCGAGCCCATAGTACGATGCATTAGCCGCAGCGCTGCCGGCCGCCGTTGAAGCCACGTGGGTGCCATGTCCAGCTTCGTCCCGAGGTGAGTGGAACCGTATCTCGTCGCTGTCTGAACTTTCGTAAAATCTTGCTCCAATCAGTTTTCTGCACACGCACATCGATGATCAAACACAGACACCATGGTTAGAGAATAATATAAAATGCTAAATATATGTTTTAATTTTTGTGCTTTTTCAATTAAACAATACTCAGCTACTATCCCGTAAGAATCTTCCGGACTACCGCTGTATTTATTTATTTATTTGTAAAACACAAAAGTAAAAAAACCCTTTTCTTTACCTTCGTCGATCTTCCCTCTCCCCTTGTAAAATAACTTAAAATGGTAGGTAGTATTTGAGAAGTTAGCAATTAAGTATTTTCTTTTTCAATTTACTCTCGTTTATCTTTCTAAGTACTTCAGTTAACTTTTTCTCGTAGGTAAAAGTTAAAAGATGGTTGATAATAAGAACCGATAAATTTAAGCATTCAAGAGAGATGAAAAATTGAAATATTATGCAAACTACTTAAAAATTTACAAGAGAAATCAGAAATTCGGGTAGAATAGTTATTCCTCTAAATTTTGTTTTATCGTGTCGTATAAATGTGTACTTAGTTATTTACAATAAAATTAAGGGTATAATTGAAGATTTTCAAAATGCAGAGTAAATTGATAGAGACTCAATTGAAAAAATAACTCCAACAACCCTGTGAAGTGTAAACTAAACATCGTGGGACTTACGTGTTACAGTTGGAGGAGGTGAAATCATTGCCTACCATGCAGGTCCCTTTCCACCTCAACGGTATTGGACCCATTCCATTGTCATTAAAACTCTCCGATTCCGGCCAGATACCTATATTTTCAATATTTTCAGGTGTTAGAGCTCATTATTCCGGCGAGCTATTAGAGCCACTTGTTATGCAGCAGAGAATGTTTGATATATGCATATTTATTTACCAGTGTCCAAGATGCCGATAATGGAATCGTATGGTTGAGAAGAAGAGGCAGGGGGATCTGATTTGGTGGGATTGGCGTCGATCTTCACACTTGTCTGACTGACCAAGAAATCCCATGAATGAGTTGTGTGCAACTTCAACAATGGATCTGGAAAAACCGAAACAACTCCAGGTGTTTGTCTCATTTCCTGGGTTTCCTTTTCTGAGAGACGAGCTGCAAATCCTGAGAACCCATGTTTGTACGTGTGCACCACTGCATTCCGATTCCTGCGTACCACACAAGAAGAAATTTGCCGGTATTTTATTGGTACGTATGAATCCTAATCTTAATATCAGTCTTCTTTCTGACCATATTCATTTTATCTGGTTTAAATCTTATTTTGTCTTCTACTTTCGGCTTTTGAATTTTGATGGTCGTCCTTGTACTTTCTAAAACGTCCATTTTCATCTTATACTTAAGCTTTTGTCTATTTTCAGCTTTATATTTTAAAAATTCACCATTTTAGCTGCTACTTGTAAAATTCAAACACAAATTTTATACTACTGTACGCCAAAATTTCAAAAAAATTATTGAAATCGTGATTATTGGATCAAAATAGATGGACAAAAGTTAAACGTACACCATAATAGGATGTGAACTGAAGAGTTTGAAGTTAAGCCCCACTTTTGTAGGAGTAGTTTCGATTGATATATTAGAGAGTTTTGAAATTTTTTTTAAAGAAATTAGCTAGTATATATATTAATATACCGCCTGTTGACAGAGGAAAGAAGCCGAAGGAAGTCAGTCCTTGAAGCAGATGCAGTTCCCATGTAGACGATATAAACGCCATTGTTTCCAGCTTCAGCAGCTGTTTTCCCATGGACAGAAACAAGGAAGATAACAGAAGCGAAAAGGAAGACAGAAAAATAAATAATTCTTTGCATGGCGGCTTTTTCTTTTTTTGAAGTGGGCAATTAAGTTCCCTGGATTTCAGAGCTCTACCCCTCACCCACTGCTAATTTATATGTTTTTACAGATGGAATCTGGTGGTCGAGAAGTGATATTGAAGGTGGAAAATTCAGTTGGTGGGTTCTACGAGCACGCGCACTGCCGAAATGACAAGCCTTTCCTTATCCACACGTAGTGCGCCATGGTCTCAAATGGTGGCGAGTTTATGACAGTGGCGGTGGTGGAGATTTGGAGATGATACGGTAAGATTTCTCCATTTTATGTACATATAAAATTTATCAAATGCCATACCTTAAATGGTTATTTTTATTTGGTAACATACGGAACAAAAACACATGAGATTTAGATGGGTTTTTCTTCTTTCCATCAACCCAAGGAAGTTGAGGGCTCTGTTAGTTTGTTGGGTTTGGTTAATAACGTATGACTTGCAAACCAAGAGTTGTGAAGAGATCTGTCTGCTTGTTTTAGGGATTCATGCTGGGTTTATGTTCCTAATTAATGGGAAGTTGAGTGTTGTAAATAAAGTGAGAATTAATAAATGGGAAATTAGGAGACTGAACTAAGCCACGATTTGTAAGTTCAGAAGTGCACCCTAAAACACCTAATGGTACATGCATGGGATCACCTGATGACTTTACTGCATAATTAGTTTAATTTGTTAATCTCTTTATTTACATAATAGTGTTAGACTTTCTGTGTGTAGATACAAAGAAAAAAAAGGCACATTTTACTTCAAGAAGGTATGTTATTATTCTTAGATAGTTTGATTCAATGCATGACTCATCCGCGAATGTTTTATAAGAAGGTTAAAAATCATGAGTACAAGTAAGTGAAGACTCATTAATTATATCAACGTGTGAGTTGATCATTGTATTGATGTACCCATATAACAAACACTTGGTTTGGGTAGTTCTCTTTACCATTTTGAAATGGGTGCACAGCTCTAAATGGGTAGAGGCTGGCTTCCCACTCTCTTATATAATATTTATTAACTTAGTTGAGTTGGGTGAATCATGCAATAAATCTCTCTCAGTCCTCCCTTTATCATACATATTTATAAAAGTCTTGCCTTTTAAAGTATCGATTTGATTTTGAAACATAACAACTTGTATAAACAAAGTTAAATATTTGTTACAAATCTAGATTATCCCCTCACAATTCAAGCCACTAGCTATATCTCTACAAGAAAGCTATATCCTATGCCTTTTTTGGTATATAAGAAAACTTTTGGATGAAAATAATTTTTTTCTTCAATCAAAACGTTGAATACATAGGCTGATTTTATGTTTGGAAATCCTACGATATTATATTTTTATTGTCGTGAATATGGTTGAAATTGATGTTTCTAGAACATTAGTCATATTTCATTATTGAGTATAAATTTCCTCTCTCGAAACTCGTGGTCAAGATGATAAGCCCCCATTGCATCAGCACACAAAAAAGTAATCCTTCTAGATTTCTTTCATTAATAAATCCATTACAAAGTACGATGAATAAGGGTTATTGATATCTTTCCTTTCCAACATGAAAGGCATATTTTCTAATAGAAAAATGCCACTATATCATTTTTCTATTTTAGTTTATGAATAATATTTGGCACCGATAGATTATCTTGTATCTTCATATTGACTACCGCTCTAAATTTGATAGTTCTGTGATGTTTTGAACAATAGAAAAGTCATCTTTTTTCTTACCATTTCTCTCTTAATAAAAAATGAACCTTAACCGATCAATATTTAAGAACTATCCGTAGTTTATTATTCACTCAATTGCTATTGTGAGTAGGTGAATATTCTACTTGGACTACCTTATAAAAAAGCACTATTGTATTATTATACATTCAAAACATGAAAGAGAAGACTTTTGATACATTAATTGTAATGATATTATCTATTTAAGTGTAAGTCTATGCTGATTTATTGTTTGATTCCATTAAAAACATCTCCTACAAACAAAAATGTGATATAGCTCACACTAATGTGGAAGTTTTGGCTCAATAATTCTTCCAATGAGAAGAAAATGTGGGAATGGAATAGATTATTTGTGTGTGGAGAAGCGAGGTAGTGGTGCAATTATAAAGTTGGATGGATCTGATATCATAAAAGAGTGTTTTAGTTGTGCAAGTTTTTTTGAGTCATTGACTAATTGTTGTGGTGCGCCACTACCAACCCATTGAGGCTGAGGCTGAGGCCGGCACTTCATTTTTGGCTAAATATTAATTAATAAACTCCACCTTCTACTTCCATACGAATTGCTTCTAACTTCTTGGCAACATTCATACATCACTTATCTACACTTCCCAATATTGATAAATGTCTAAATGTCTTTTCATTTTAATTAATTTAATTAAATTACATATTTTTATTAAGCATAAACCTGATTTTTTAAATTTATGTTTACATTATGCAAAGCCATAAATAATAATTTAAATTTTGAGTTTATATACTCTCTACTTAGATTTGGAATTTGTGATTTATAAAAGGAAAAAACTTGGCTTTATAAAATTATATTACGTGGATTCCAAAAGAAAAAGAAAAGGAATTATGTAGTTTGTAATTTATGATAAACAGATTTGCATGAACAATTTTATGTTATACAACGTCAACTCAAAAATCAAACATTTCTATAAGAGCAAAAACCAATTGAATTTTTCTCAAAAATCCAATTAAATTCTATTTATGCTGTGAGATTCTTTCCTCACTATCGACTTGATAGTTAACAAGAGATTTTCTTAAGCTTAGATTTTTAGAATCTCAAAGACTCCTGGAGTGGTCAAAATGCATATATCATACCAATCACACTTAAAATACGAACGAAAAACATTGAAATGAAGTATCTTTTTGTTTATATCTAAAAACTATCCATTAAAAAAATACATAATTTGTATCAAATTCTTGATTTTTGTTTGAGATTTATAAAAGTTAGTAAGTAATATAACAGATAGATTTCAAAAGTCATTGTAATTTTACTATTTCAACACAAATAAAATTAGAGGAAAAAATAATGATGATAAAACGAAAACCTAACCATGAGCCTAAAGCTCTAACTTCTAATTATCTTTTACTAAGAGAAACTAATCGCAATGGAAGAACTCATCCTAATCCAAAGTAGCACCATTATACTATCACTATGCCTAGAAAAATCCACACTAACAATCTGCTCTTAGTAGTCTAATCATAATGATCACAACTACCAAGAAAGTAAATATAATTCGTTCACTAATAACAATTAACAACATTTCTGTCAGTATGAGGATGAATCTTAAAACCAAAATATCAATAATGAGAATTAAAAAGAGGGTTACCAACTAGGAATCAAGGGAAGAGAGAGCGAATATTCTGATATCCTTGGAAGACTTAAATGGCATTTCAGGTTAAAGAATTGGGTGCCATAACAAAAGTGAAGTTTGAAGATTTGAGGAAGGTCAGAAAGAACACCCACTGGAAGCCATTTTTATGATTGTTCTGACCTGAAGATGCCTACATGAAGGTGAAGCTTTTAAAGTACAGAAATGAAATGGGAAGGGGAAAATGCGACCGATACAGTCCTATCTCGGTCCCATCGACAGAAAACTGTACTAGAACTAGAAGGCAGACTTGCAGAAAACAAATATGTTAAATTATCAAAGGCAGACTTCGTCCCCACCTTTCCTACACAGTAATAATCACCCAACAATCAGATAGACAGATAATAGAACAGAAATAAAACAAGGGAAAATTAACATAAGCAAGAACAACAAATTCCATCTCAGTTCTACTTTTTTCCAAAACATATTTCTCTCAAAATAAATATATATGGTCATTGCAGATTCAGAAACTAGTTCAATAAATGCTATATACTTCAGTCACTAATGTCACCCAAAAAGAACGAGAAACATTGAGAATGTAAACAACTAGACGTATACCGAAACTAAATGATCCAATATATCCAAAAAAAAAAAAAAAAAACCCCTCAAGATTAGATCTCCCAATCTAAACTTCTATTCTTTTATGTTTGGAGTAATATATAAATATTCTTCGTAACCCCAAAAACTAGCCTCTTAAAACTGCCAAAATGAGCATGACAACAAATGGCATGACACATGGAGAAAGAGAGAGTTAGCAGCCAGACCCTTTGTAAATAGACGTAATCTATCCTAAGCAGAGTGTGCTAGAATCTTTGGGAGAACAAAATCGATCAGATATCAGTCTGAACATCCTGATTAACCTCCCCATTAATAAGTTCTGAACTATCAGCTGGCTCGAAAGATCGTATCTCAGTAGCACTCCCAGTATTATGTGATGGATCGCTATCACTTGTAATACTTTGGTTCGTGCATTCATCCACTCTGATCCTTTGAAACGAAGTTGCCAGATTATCATAAATTGATCCACTTGGAGAAGAAGAGGACAAATCAGTTCTAAGCCAGTTGGGATTTGTTGCAAATCTCTTCCACCCGTTTCGCCTTCTGATCCTATTATCCTGCAACAAGTTCAGCAGAGGAATGAACAACTTGAACAAAATTTGACTTTGTTTGCTGCTTTCTATAACACTCCATGTACACACAAACAAGTAATTTCTCAACCAAAAAATGGGGATTCTTTTAAATCCCAAGATTGGATCTGACTATAGACACAAGATACATTAATCTCATAGCTAAATATGAAAACTTACTTGCATTTCCACGAAAGTTGATGTTCTTAATGATTCTACCACAATTTGGATATTGTTTGTCAGCTTCTTTACCTGCAAAAGCAAAGGTATAAATGCAACAATCAGCCACTATCGTGTTTAAATGGGAGGCAGGTAGGAAAGCTAGAGGGACATTTTCATCCAACTCATTCATAAATAGTTCACTGTACTTCCGTATCTAATTGTAAAAAGTAAAGCAAACCAAGACACATTAACGTGCTATTGCTTAAGTTGAGATAATTAGTCAATTTTAATTGGAAAAAACTTTTTTTTTTAATAAGAAACCAAATTTTTCATTAAGACAAATGAAAATAGAAGCATATACAGGGGCATACAAAAACAAAAGCCCAGAAGGAGAAGCCCTATCTGAGAAAAAACAAATTATACTATCAGAAAGACAATTGGAAAAAACAAATTATCGTCATAACAAAACCAGTGTTATAATCATTAAATAATAATCTAAGCAGAAACCACATTCTGATTCTACTAATCTGAAAACTCATCTGTTAAAGTATAGACAAGTGAACCAGTACACACACACACAGGAAATGGGGAAAGCGTGAAATTACAAAGTATATTAAACATTATAATGAAGCCAATTTTTTCTCAGAAAATACAAGAAAATCATGTGGCTATGCTCAAGAACTGTTTCAAGTGCACATAAGAAAAGCTATAACAATGAGGATTAGAGAAAGATACAATATTTCGTATGGTAAAAATAAGAAGTGATGAACAACTTCAAGAGGTATACCAATTGGTCACAACCCAACATTACAGATTTGCTCATACGAAATCTTGGTCAATTCTGCATTCCACCAAGAAGAAAATGTTCGAGAGTGGACATTTGAGAGGGAGGAAAAGACACTATGATGGTTCAATGATAAAACTTAAAGATGTTCATTTTCTCTGTTTTCTGGGGAACAGAGAGAGAGTGTGAGGCTGAGAATCGCATTGCCGCAAACAAAATCAAGAAAAACAAAAAATTGCCACTAAACGCCACTCTCTAGCCAAAATATGATCTTCCTTTTACGTTCTCTTGTGGTTGGCAATTCTGTTCGAATGCCATAGTTAGAAAGAAAATGTTTGCTCGAGACCAAATGCCCATGAGCGTGATATTTAAGAGAACGTTATGGAGATATGATGTTAACATTGACATCTGAAGTGGACATGGAATATAGACTATTTAGAAAGAAAATTATACACATAAGAGAAGTTATGTACGAGTATACATGAAGAACTGAGAAAACAATGTAAAGAGTAGTTCAACAAGCAAGACATCCATCTCTCAAGATTTTCATTCCCAACTTTGTAATCAACTAATAAAAATAAAACTGTGCTCTTTTAAACCAATTAAAGAAAGGATGGAAAAGGATGTAGTCATGTAGAGTTATTAAACAGAAGCCCATACTTAGATATCAGGGCTGTACAACAGTGGAATTGATCTTGGATTTAACTGCAAATTTTAGGTGAGGATACATTGGCCGAACAAAATTTAGGATTAACAATATACATCCCAAAAGCACCTGGATATACTACAAATTCAACTCGAGCACTACAAGAAATTTTCACAAAAGTCTACATAAATCAAGCGACTACATTACCAAGTCTTGAGAAGATCAACCTCTAAGGTTGCAAGATGAATGGAATAGGAAAAGATGGGTCGAATACATTACCATAGCCATCTAACCTACCTAAATCCTATCAAGTAAACAATTCTCATAGAACAATCCAGTACTTAAAATAACAGACCAAAACCAAGGGAGATTAGGGAGCTCCCAAACTCTCCCAAAACTTTCAAAATATGAGCCTTACAAAAAGATGTCCAAAATCATAACCTTCCCTCAAACTTCTGACTCTTTAAATCACCTCCAAAAACTTGCCTCGTGACACTCCTTCCCTAATTAAAAATATTATTTTTATGTATCCTCCTTTTCATGAAAGAGGGAGTTTTTTGTGCAAGCTTGTTTTTTAGCTATTTTGTGGGGGATTTGGATTGAGCGAAATAATAGAATCTTTAGGGGAGTGGAAAGGGACAAGGAGTCTATTTGGGATCTCGTTAGATTTAATGTCTTTATGGGGGTTAGTCCATGAATGAGAAATCATAGATTGAACTGCCGGATCGGAAAAATTGAGTGGTTGCAAAGTTGTTTTGTAATTATCAGCTAGGCTTTATTCTTTTGGATTGGAGACCCTTTCTTTAGTTGGGGTTTTCCTTGAGGGCCAACCCCTTTCATTTGTTTCCCTTTCATTTGTTTTTGTTTTCATTTGTCTCAATGAAAAGTTTGGTTCCTCATAAAAAAAAATAATTAACAATATTATTTGGGACCCACAAATCATATGCCCTCGCTCACTATGTGGTCCCCCCTTTCTTTCCTCTCTTACGAGTATAAAACTTTGTGACCCAAGGCCTATCACAATCTAAGTAAACTTTAAAGATGCTTTACGCATAAAAATTGAAGAATGTTCAAAAAGCCCAGACCTTCCCACCCACGGGTAATTGCATACACTAGAACAATTTCACTACTAAGTGAAGCTCAACTCTCCTTTTTCGAAAGGCAACCAACGAAACAACCATGTGCAATCAAGCTCAACTCTCCTTTTTAATATAAAGGAATGAGAGAATAAAGACCAATAGCGACGATAAAGACAGAGACAGTGAGTTAAGTAAGTAAAAAAAAAGTAGAATAAAATCATGTGATGTAAACCATAACCCTAATTATTCAAGTAGTTTGGCGACTAAAGACCACATATCGTATGTATAATGATGACACAGAAAAAGGATGGTATGCATCAATAGCCTTATTCTAATCATAAGAGCATATTTTGAAAAGATAAGTACAAGCATGGAAAGCTAAATAGTTAGTCTAATGATCACACTGACTTTTAAGTGTATCACCATGATCAATCCATCAACTCTAACAAAATCTAGAAAGAAAAAAATTTTCCCAATTGCCCCTTCCTCCTCATTTGATGCTTTAAAGCATCCTTTCCTTCTAACTGCAGGTTATCACCTAGAAATCAGGTTTTCCAAAAGATGGCTTCCAATTACCCCTAATTTGGTGTCTATCAAGTATTAACCAATAAAATTGATTCTTCAAAAAAATATAGCAAACTTAGGTGTCTGGTAAATTTTATTATATGTTAGCAACTTGGTCGCATGATCGCACTTGCTTTCAAATGTCTCACTGGCATCACAATTGATCAACTTGAATAAAACATAGAAAAATACTATCCATACCCACAATCCTTAATCCCGTCACACTACTTGCTTTAAAGCATTCTTGCCAACTAATTTGCAGGTTAAAACTTTAAAACCAGATTTTCTGAAACATGAGTTGAATTAATCCCCAATTTGGAGTCTCTGAGCCTTTTGACACTGAATCATCAACAAATCTAGTTAACCTAGGTGTTTGGTAAATTTAACCCTAAGTTTACAATTTCATTAACACTTTTCAATTAATATTGATATTAAGAAAGAAACAACTCAAGGATTGTTTCTTTAAAGATCTTGTTGAATAACCAATTTCTTCATTAATAAAAAGTTCATAGAATAACTTTCATTAGAAACAAACAGCAACCTTAATCATTTCAAGATAATCTAAATCAGTATATTTTTTTACTCATTTAAGGGAGTTTATTAATCTTCCTTTTTTCTTCTCATACAGCAAAAGAGTTACAAGCAGAAGGGAATTGCCATTTATTATATGAGAAAGAACACACTAAATGATGAAATAACAAGCAACACCAGAATTTCTGTCAAGGAAACGATGTAAACAGTAGTTGCTACTGACAAAATTCCTAGAGCTTAAATCACAAATACTTTTACATTATATTCTTTCTTAGCCAAAAAAATCTCATTTCTATATCTTTAAATGTTAAATGCACTTTATATATAAATAAAATGTTGCCATTTCCAATAAGTAATTTATTTATAAATAAAATTCACTGCAGATATAAAACCTATAAATTAACTTCTTTGTTTTCATAAAGAACAGGAGAATTATTGTCAGAACTTACTCGAGGAAAAGCAGCTATTAGAGAAATCGGAACCCAGCCTTGATCGTCCATCCAGGACCTTAAAAAGGTGTCTGTTATCAAATTATCATCGCTGTAAAAACATAACCATGAATGCAAAGTAACAGTCAGTGAGGACGAAAGAAGAGACGTACAAGATCCCTAAGGGTGTCTCCACAAGAACCAATCAAGAACTAAATGGATCGCATGGTAAACCATATTACCTGAAATAATATTCAATCTGTTGAACTATCGATGCAGATAGAGAGGGATCTACAGCAGAATGGTACATTACAGGTCGCGGCATGAATGGGATGCCTCTATAAGGCTCCAAGGGCAATGTAGGGACGTACACAAACTCTATTCAAAATAAGGATTAAAGGTTAACATTCACATTAGAAAACTATACATCTATTGTCATCATTATTCTTTAGAAAGAAACCCACCAGGTGGAGGCATAGGGTTCGCATGAGGTCTGACAGGCTGGGGAAACTGAGAAGTGTAAGCTGGCGAAGGCCTCATAAAGCCTCTAATAGGAGCTGCCCTGTGCTGCTGAAAATGAACATCTCGAGCATTAGAATATATTCGACGACGATCTTGATCACGCTTTCCACCACGGTTATTGTGGTAGTGACCATCACCACGAGGATGATAGGTGAAATTCCCCCTAGGAAAGAAGTTACGGTGGTCAGTAGTAAAATTAGTTTGAGGCACAAAGCCTGCAACTGCCCGTGGATCCCAATTATTGCTCCCAAACAATGGTTCTCCAGGAGAAGGATCAGGAATTGCTGGTAGCAAATTACAGTAACTACTTGCAGGAATGTGAAATACAGGAAAAGGTGGTGGTGGAGGCGGTGGAGCTCGGAAAAAGTCTCCTCGTGCAGGTCCTCCTACTGAGGTGCCACCACCACCACCGCGCTTTGACGATCTTTGTCGAGCAGCCACTGGATGCTTTGGACTTGGGTTTGATTTGGCATTATTTGTAGCTTGCCGCTGAGGGGTTACATTAATAGATCCCTGCTCAAAAAACACAAGATAAAAGACATCATGCACAAGCATTTTGAATAGTCATTAAACCATGAGAAGAACTTTGGCTTATAAGAGAGTTACAGAAGTGAGCTAACATTGTTGAGGAGTAGTGGAGGAAAAAGAAAATCGAAATTCTGAACATAGTATAGTCTCATTCTACATTCTATAGCATAAACCCTAAAAGGCACGCAACTACATGTCCGAAGGATAAAGTTTCAATTTCAATATATTGAAGAAGAATAACCGAAAACGACGCAATGGAAAAACAATTGGAGAATTCAATTAATCTCCTCACCATCATCCAACGTTTTCGAGAACTAAATATGACGTTGTCAGAAGTAACATGACCAAACCTGAGAAGGGGGCACTGACACTTCGATGGTGGGCTTGACAGGAGAATCGACTGCTAATTTAGGTGAAGCCCTAGCGGAGTCCGAGAGAGCAGGCCAAGAATCTGCCCCCATTACAGGACCAGCATCAACGACGCCATTGGAAGGCTTGTTCCAAGCCGGCTTCCTCGTCGGAGCCGTTGCATTGCCGCCGTCACTTGCATCGTGGTTCTCCGAGGATGTGAAGTTATCGGCGGGCGGTGAAGCAGTAGAGGGGGTTTCGGTTGCAGAAGCCGCCAGCGAAGACAGCGATGATGACGATGACAACGGAGACTGATCGACGGGTGAGATCGATTCAGGCTCACCTCGGACGACTTGTGCCCACGGAGACCGAAGATTCCTCCGCCGTAACTCAGGGCTGTTGAGATTATCGCCGGTATAACCTGTTCCCTTAGGCGAACGGTGATTAGACGAATAATCAGTAGCCGTCGCCATCCCAATCCAACCTTGGTTTCTTAGTACCGAAAAACAAAACTCACAGAGAGAGATTGATCAGCACATAATATAAAAGGATACTTAATTCATTATCGAATGCATGATTTCCTACTTGCCGAGGGAAGATGTACAAGAAAACGGAAACAAAAACAAATTAGGGTTTCGAATGTATAATTCCGACGGAGAATAATGGATCTCGCTCGCTGAAATCACGAGCAGACGAAACCGGCGGCTTCTTCTCTCCGCTCCAGAGCGGCATGCTCAGACAAGCAATTGCACGCTTCCAGGTTTTTGTTACGAAAGTGGAATATTTTTTTTTTTCTTTTTGGGACATGAGAAAGTAAAAATTACTAAAAACCCAAAAAACTTCTCAATTTTTTAATTGCGACCTTAATTCCGTACCCGTACCCGACTACGCATTTCAAATTTGCCCATTATCGTAAATTACAACGTTCCCAGCAATTTTTGTTGAACTTTATTAATAATAATAAATTCGAATTTGTATTTTATAAAAAATACTCAAATATATTGGTGTTTGTATTTATTCACGTTAGATACGCATACACCCGTCCATGCGAATGTCTCCAAATAAAAAATAAAAATAAAAACCCAACCGATTTCTTACTTTTTTTCTTAATCAGATATTTTATTAATTAATCCATATAACAGAATATCTGTAATTTAAAAGTTACTTCAAGTTAACAAACTTTTGATTTTTTTTTATTTTATTCCTTACTTTTAATTTGTAGGATCAAATCTTAACCAATTCATATTTGTACTTTAAAAATCCTAGATTAGTGGTGCTATATTTCATATTTCAAATTTGAAGAAGTAAATAAGTTGATTTTTTTTATGGATCAAATCACATTAAGAGACATTTTAATTTATTTATACATGTAATGAAAAAATTAATTCGTACATTAGGTATGATTTTTTTTTTTCAAAATCAAACAAGTTATAACTATGAGTTGTGTTGGCCCATAATCCAATTAAAAAAACAAGTAAATTGGGGAAGGACTTTGATGAACCCTGGTTGGGTGGATAAATTTACTCATTTGTAAATCGAGTTGGTTCGAACCTTAAGATGGTCGCCTATCTTAAAGATGAATAATTGCTATGTGTTTTTCGACACCAAATATTATAAGGTCTTGCCACGTAAAACTAATGGAAACGCACCTAACTGGTTTGGATACTCATGAATATTAAAAAAAGAAAATTCTCAAAACAATGTTTAACTCCTTATTTTATTTATTTCTACCTCTTCTGGGACTCGTATATTTTCACACCTATTTTCTCTCTCTTCCTCTTCAAATGAATATAATTTTTACCGTCAAAGAAATACCCGTGAATTATTCTCATAGCTCATTACATAGATTTTAAATCTTATTTAACGTAAAAAAAAAGAAAAAAAATCATAATGAAAATTCAATCCCTGTACGATGACATGTTTTTTTCTAATAAATAACTATTTTTATGACGCAAAATTTTTAATAATATTTTTAATATAAACGATAACCAAATTGGCACATTGAATACTGATAGCTATTAATAACTTTTATTTTATTGGTAAAATACTCCTAATATTTTGTATAATGATTCAGCTCAATATCATTTTATCAATAAATATTAAAAATTGAAAAATAATAAAAGATAAAATAACAAAAGTTAAAAATAATATATTAAATTCTAGCTAGATTGTGACTATGGTTTTAAATTAATTCCCTCTAAGTTCTTTAAAATTTACTTTTATTGACTTGAACCATTATCGCAACACATGATTCAACCTTATTTCATTTTTATCTATAAATTTTAAAATGGTAACAATGTTAGTGGATGAACTTTCCTGTCTTAGTCTCTAAACTTTTTTCAAAAAATAATTGTAGTAATCATTTTGGTATTTGTTAAAATACTTTTTCACTTAAATTTCACTTACGTGATACTCATTTTAATGTGTTAGTATTATACATACTCGAAGTCATGCTATTAATTTATTAAAATCAAAATAAAAGCAAGGACCAAAATGTTTACTTTTTCAAATTGATGTATTGAAATAGACATTTCGAACCTTTCGCAGACCAAAACCAAACAACCTAAAAGTTCGAAGACTAAAATATATATTTTAAAAGTTGAGGGGTCAAATGAAATAATCTTAATTTTTTTTCTTTTTACAATTATATCCAAAAATCATGATATGGTGATATATAGGGTTCTCAAGAGTGAAACAAGTATTAGAAGTACTTTCGATCGATTCAATATTAATGAACCTAGAAAATAAAAGTAACAAGAATTTTTAGAATTATTTTGGAGATTGGTGTGAACTAACTATATTGCAAAGCCTTATTTCTTTGGTTAATGAAATCCAAAAGATTTCTCGATCAAAGGGGTGGAGAAATCCATGATAGATATATATAAATTTTTGTACGTCAAACACATTGGGTTTAAAGGATGGAATGTCTTATATATTTACCATTGAATTATGCTGGTGGTAGATTGGTAGGTCGATTTACTTATACCTTAGACTACAAATTTATTAATTTCAATAATACATGAACTTAGGTCGATAAACTCACATTCTATGCTATATATTCATTTATAAATCATAAACCAACAATAATTCATATACAAATTCAAATTTATTTTTATATATATATATATATTCTTTTTCACGAGATAAACACACGATATAAATTCAAATTTCATGAAGCTATCGTGTTATGCCTAATATTTATCATAATAATAATTTTTTTATTATAACAAATATAGTGTATGATAATATATACTAATGTTTAATTAGTTAGCCAACAAATGGTTCATATTAAATCATATATCTTATTTAAAGTCAGTGATTGGAATTTCCACTAATGTTGTTGAATTAGATTATGGGTACAACATAATGGAATTTTTCTTCCCTTTCCTTCCTTCTTTTCTTTTCTTTTTTTTTTTTAAATACAATGAGTTCGCANATCGGGATCGGCATAAAATTAATTCTACTAGGCCCAATCTAAATGTTAGCTATGGGCTATGGCAAATATTATGCGTCGATTGATTAGTATATTTATTTGTCAAAAATATATATAAAAAATAATCATGCGATTGGACGAGAAATCATTTTATTAATTTTTGTGACATTTCACCTATATAATCAACATCAATAAAATTGGGCAAGATAGTTAGCTCAGTTAGTCAAGATATTATTTACTTCTCTCTAAATATATATGAAGTTAAAATTCTTACTCTTGTTGTATTATTATTATTATTTTACGTTTACTTTGGTTGAACTTTAAAAAACAACAACATCAATAAATATGGATTAATCGTCTCCCACAAGTCTAAAAACATTCCTTCTCATATATTTATATGGAGTGGGAAATTTGTTTTTTCTTCTTACAGTATGGAGCAAGAATTTGAACATTTAATTATTTTTAAAAAACTAATAACAGTGCTTTAATAATTGAGCTATCATCTTTCTTATAGTAATGCACATATCATAAATTGTAATAAATACCACAATTAACAATACCAATCATTCCTCACGTGCATCATGTGCATTGAATTTTATATTTTGTTTATTGAGTTTTATATTTTGTTTTTTAATCCTATTATAAAGGATTTGGTAAATTCAAAAGTATGAAATAGCAAGACTAAATTGTTACAAATTAAAGTTTATTTATTGTTTCAATAAAAATATGAGACCAAAAATATTTTTTAACTTATTATAAATAATGCTCAACAATTTAATAACCCTTCGAGTTTACCCAAATATTGTATTACCTCAAAGAAAAAATATACATTTAGTAGAACAAATACCATTTTTTTTAATTGCATTAATATGATCACTCTTAGATTTTTAATCTCTCTGCACTGTTATTTTGAAAATCAGAAACTGTATTTTTTTTTCTTTTTTTGAGAAATACTATGTGATGCTATAGTTATAAATAATGAAATATAGATAGAGATTAGTAGCTACGAAATCCTATGAGAAAAAAACACAATAATAAAGTATAGCGTTACCTATTTGGCAGGTGTCTCGATTACCAACTCATTATTTATCATTGTCTATAAACAGTAGAATCTTCCTCGAGAACAAAGTACGTGACATCATCCAAGCTTAGTTTGATATTGTTTTAGCCTAAATAGTAAATACTATAATCTACCTTAACTTGATAAATACTAATTTAAGTATCGAAGTGTTGGTCTTCACAATACCGAGTTCTTATATAAGTAATCATCTCAAACACAACGCAAGCCATCTCAGACTCTACGTCAGTAGATTCACCTATATTGGAATCATACATCATTCATCAACAAACTATTATTCTTTTTTTGTCCCATTGTTAACCTTACAAAATATTGTTAAATTCATGTGATTTCCTGGAAACTAAATATATATATATATATATTTTTTTTTTAATCAATTATTTATTTTTGGTTTAGGAACGAGAGAAAAAAATAAGTAGAATGCATTCCAGATCCGGATCCAAATATTTCATATACGGCCCAATCTTAACAAAGTTATACGGGCCAAGAGAAAACGACATGTGGTCCAGCCGTTTTGAATATTCATTCCTTTTCCCTTTCCTTCTCTCCCTGCGATTGAATATTCCACGTCTCCCACTCTCCAACGTCCAAACTAAGAAAAATAAAGGAAAGGAAAGGAATTCCACGTCGAAGTCAATTCGCCGTCACTTTTTTATTGGCAATTGGTGGTAAAATAGGTGTGAATTGACCTATGAAGCCCTCATTGTCTTTCAATTTCTTTCTTCTGCTTCGGAAATGGACGGGAAACTCACAGGAATTTACTCTCTCTCCGGCACCGAAACTCCTACGTGGTTTTATTTAAATACCCAAATGACTGTATTACCCCTAACAAACTATGTATGTTCATACATACCCATAAATTATTAGACGTATCTTTCATTTATTTGTAATTAATCCGATAATCAAAGGTTAATGTGAGCATAATAAGCCAAATCGAGTATAGTTCAAATGGTTAAGGCATATATCTCTGACTAAAAAGGTCGCATTTTGCTGCAGCTTGAGGAGCTTCCACACCCAACACTTTTTGTTGTGGCAATCACTCAACCCTTACTTCAAGAAAACCTCTCCAACTATTCGAAGAAGTCAAAAGAGGAGAAGAAGACTCAGAAAACCGTTGCTAAACAGAGACCAAGAACACTTGTTGGGAGCTGACCTTCAACTCCCTCTTTCTTCATCTTCTCTTTGTATCATTTTCATTCCTATATTTCTTGACTACCCTTATGACATTGAATGGATCACCTTGGGTAAGGGGGAGATGTAGTGAACTCATTTCGAGGGCTATAACTTTGCGTTCTTTATTAATGATAGTGAGTTTTGATGTGAAGTTATTTTATTAAGCCATTTTCAATATGTTTGATCACCATGTTAAAATACCTCTTTGTTAATTTTTGGAAAATTGTAGTAGGGAGCGAAAAACTTTATTTCAAGCTAGATTCTACTTGAGTTAGAGAGTGGGAATTTAGGGATAAGAACCACCTAACTTAGTTATAAATTGTTCGCATATGCTGTTAGTGTTTGTCTAAGAACCCTAATAACAGAAAATCTGGAATGTTTGGAAAGGCATTTTGTCTGTTTGACCACTTTTTTTCACTTCGTTAATGCTGTAGCATCGTTAGAGTAGCCCATAAAGAGTCACGATCTTTCTCCCTCTTGCACCCTCTTTTTTGAAGAAGTCATTTGTTTGTTCTTCATGTTTTGTATTTTTGGCGATTATTTAATTAATTTTGTTTATACGTCTCTCTTAAATCTCTACACTAATTTTTCTCTCTGTATTTGTGGTTAACGATTATTTGGTTTAGTGCACTTATTTCTTTGGTAATTACTGAGTGTTTGGTATTTGATTTATGTGGATTCAAACTTTTTTATTACTTACTGCGACGATTGTGTACACTTGCACATACAAGAATTGGTAACCTAAATTGAACCAACACTTTCAAGTTTCAAGTTTCAACTACAATTTCGGATCTCTCAATAACAAGTGTTTGAATTTACAAAGATAATTATGCATTCAATTATCACAATAGTAATTTTTATTTCATAATTTCCGAATAAGTAACAAAACACATTGAAAAGTTAAGTATTTCATAATGTCGCAAATAATAAATAAATTTGCTAGCATCCATTTGAAAAATTTTTGGTTGGTAAGTATTTGTAATGTATTTTCATAATTTCGTGTTTAATTTTAGCTATTTAAAACTACGATCGATTTTAATTGATATAATATTTAATCAATCAAATTTATTGACTAATATATATCATCAATTACTGACTAAATAATTGGTTTGATTTCAATCAAATTTCTATTTTTTTTAGTACAACAAGTTGGGAGGGAGGATTCCAACTCAAGACCTATTGATCAGTTTATATGTTAATTACCGTTGAGCTTACACTCATGTTAGCATCAAATTTAAATTTAACAGTAGGTCATTTCTCAAATTTTATTACTTAATAAAGTTATTCATGCAACTAACCAAATTTATACTAACAAGGTACAAATTTTGATATAGGTTCACTTCAGATATGAAAGGATGACTTGCACAGACAACTTGTATTAGTGAGATGTTGTGTCCATCATAGTCTGATGTTTAAATTAATATTTAGATGGATGTGGTATCAAGCTTAGCTAGGATTATGTTGCGTACTTAAGTGTGAGGCAAACTTGTACACCGTATATATTATACTTTGAGACGCATCAATTAGATACCTTACACCATTAAGAGAAAATGACATACATCTACTTTAGTTCAAATTAGCATGAAGAAATTCCAATTAAGTTATACTATTACTATAATCCATAAAAAAATTGTTCTTTCATTTCAGTTTTATCCCTCTGACTACAAAGTAAAAAAACATTCATTCAAACTTCACTATTTAAAAATACTTCAATTGGTACACGCACGAAATAAGCTAGTCCAATAGCCTTTTGCTCAATTTCTCGTGGGCCATATTCTCATGGGTACGAGTAAAGGGAACAGTTCGAACACAGAGCCTTATGCTTTAATACCATCTTAAACATGATTAAATTCACTAAATTTAATCATTTATATGATACCTAGCGAGATGATGAGCTTCACCTTCATTGATTAGGATGTGCACCTCTCCTGATGGGCCCAAGATGGTCAATTCAACTCACACTTCTTATCATCGTGGTATGTTTGATAGATTCATAACCGATACAATTAAAAATATAAATGAAATCAACAGATCCATATAATATATTAAAAAGAAAAAGAAAGGTAGGTGTTTGTTTGGTCTCTAAAATTTTAAAATTGACACTTTTAATGTTTAAAGTTTGAAACGAGTGTTTAGGTAGTCATTTAAATTTAAAAATTAAAAGTGTCTATTTTAAAAATTAAAACACCTATCTAAATTTTGAGGACGAAAAATATATTCTTTTCCCAATAAAAAGCTGACAAATAGTGGGAGATTCCCAAATAAACAATAATACAACTTGATCTTGGTCTTTTACAGCTGAGTCTTTGTCCTAGTCAAATAACTTTCAATTAAATTATTCATCGTGAAAAATAAGAGACTTATTAAATTATATTTAATTTCATTTTTAGTTTAAATAAACAAGTGATTTTTTTTTTTTGTTGGTAGTACAAAGACTCCTTAAAAACTGAAAAACTTTTGAAAATCTGAAACAAAAGATTTTGAGACAAGATTTTCAAACACCATATTAGAAGAGTTGATGATCAAAAGATTTTGAAGACTTGAGGACTTCGAAGATTAAAGAATACTTCGAAGATTTGAAGACTTTAAAGGTGCACAGGACTTGGATCCAAACTTGATTTTCAATACTCCAAACGCCAGCCATCAAGTCAAGTTCACTTAGAATCAGAAGCCAAAGATTAGAAACTACACAAATTAATACAAAATTAAAGTTCAATTCCACAAAATAAATTTTTCAGAAATCTCATGTGAACACCTACGGGTCAACAATATTAAAAAAAATGTAAACAATTTAAATGGTTAACTTCTTTAAACCCTACAAAATTCAAATTAAAAATCATATAAAAGAAAAACGATCAAATCTCCAAAATTTGATAATTAAAAAGAAAATTAAACTTTGAAATTGTCAGCAACAATTAAATCAAAGAGACGAAAAATATGCACGAAAGAGGAGTCTAACTTACTAACTTAGAACCCTGAGGATCTTGAACATGTGCGCCACGAAATCTAATTAGTACCGTCTTTATTATTTGTATGTAATATAAAACGTTTCAAAGTTGAGTAGCTTCTGTCAGTTTTTTATCCAATCATTAAATTGTAGAAGTCCCAACATTAAACTTCGAGAAATATGCTAACTATAATTGACACATATTTTTTAACCAAAGTTGCCCTTTGAAAACAGAAAAGAAAAAGAAAAAACTTCAAGAAATGTAAGCCCTTTGAAAACAGAAAAGAAAAAGAAAAAACTTCAAGAAATGTAAAAAAAAGAGAGATATTTTATATTTTTGAAATATCTAAGGAACTATCAAATGTCAAATTTTGGTTAGTGGCAAAGCAAAGCAGGGGGTTGTTTCCAAATTTAGGTGAATTTCTTCCATATTTCTAACTAATTTCCGAGTTCTCATTGCTTTGGCTTTAAATATGCATTCATCTTCGTCCTTGTGTCCATCGCCAACTCTGTATCTCTCAATCTCTCATTCCTTCACTCTAATTCTAAATGGCCCAAACGACGCCCAATCACACGCAGACCGTCGCCGGTTGGGCAGCTCATGATTCTTCCGGCAAGATTGTTCCATTTACTTTCAAACGCAGGTACGTTACACTAACACGCAGCCTTCCATTTCTCGATCTCTGTTTTTTACATTTTCCGGCGGTCCAATCGGAACAGACGACCGTCTAACCACCGCCGTTCATTTGTCGTCCAGAGAAAATGGCGCCGACGACGTGACGATACAGATTCTTTACTGTGGAATTTGCCATACTGATCTCCACTTCGCCAAGAACGACTGGGGTGTCACCATGTACCCTGTTGTTCCCGGGTACGTTATACTCTCTGTTTCTCTTCTCTCTCATTTTCTCAAACACTTCCACTGATTTTGTTTTTGGGATTGTGAAAGCACTTTGAGGAGAAAATTTACTATGAATACTTTTTCTCTGCTCCTAGAATTTCTCAGAACTACTTTTGATTAATTCTTACAGAATGGCATCTGTAAATACTTTCGTACACATGTCAAACACACTCTTATTCGTGGTTGAAAGTTGTGCAGCCATGTGTTTGTAAATAACATATCAAATTTAAGGTTCAGTAATAAATTAGCATGATATGATATGATATAGATCTACTGTGTTCTAATAATCACCTGTTGATCTTGATTTTCATCGGCTTTAAGTTTTTTGGATTTAGTGTTGGTTGTCGAGATCAAACAACTAATTATTTTCTCCCTGTTTTCTGCTTGTATTTCCTCAGGCACGAGATTACAGGGGTAATCACGAAGGTGGGAAGCAACGTGAAGAAGTTCAAATTAGGAGACAGAGTGGGGGTTGGCTGTATCGCCGCCTCGTGCTTGAACTGTGAATTCTGCCGCGACTCCCAAGAGAATTACTGCGAAAATCTGCAGTTCACGTACAACGGAATCTTCTGGGATGGGAGTATAACCTATGGCGGATACTCCAAAATGTTTGTTTCAGATCAGAGGTGAGTTCAGAGTTTCCTTTTCACACATATGGAGCAATCCATTTTCGTACACAAGGTGTTTGTGAAAACGTCTGAACGATAAAAAAAAACAACAAAATAGGTACGTGGTGCACATACCGGAGAGCCTGCCGATGGACGCCGCGGCGCCGTTGCTGTGTGCTGGGATTACAGTGTTCACTCCCATGAAAGACGGCAATCTGATCGGGTCGCCGAGGAAGAAAATCGGAGTGGTGGGGCTGGGAGGGCTGGGCCACATAGCAGTGAAATTTGCGAAGGCGTTTGGGCACCACGTGACGGTCATCAGCACCTCTCCTTCGAAGGAGAAAGAGGCTAAGGAGCGGCTGGGCGCAGACGAGTTCATAGTCAGCAAAGATCCTCAGCAAATGCAGGTCTGTTGAATTTCAACTTGAAATTCTTATGAAATGGGATTTGGTTTTTTGTTTGGAATTTGAACAGTGTGGTGTGCGGTGACAGAGAGGGAAGAGGACATTGGATTTCATACTGGACACAGTGTCAGCAGAGCACTCGATTGGACCAATATTGGAACTGCTGAAAGTGAACGGGACATTGTCGATTGTGGGAGCTCCGGACAAGCCAATTCAGTTGCCATCTTTCCCTTTAATATTTGGTAATGCAAATCCCAACTTACTCTCAACTTCTCAACACACTCTGTACATCACAAAATTTTTCAGACCTACCACATGTATCTAATAAATTTTGTTAGATTTTTTTTTTTTTTTAAGATGGTTCTTCACTAAAGATGTTTGAATCTATGCTATTTTATGTATGTATTTTTTGTAAATAGGATTTTTGTTTAAATTTTCTGTATACTCTTTGTTTTTTTTTCGCATTTAAATGTAATTTAATCTATTATAAGGATGATAGATATAAAAAGTACATTGTAGTGTAGAATAAGTTATTTTTGTATGAAGTGTAAGAATCAAAATGAAATAATATAGCTTAATAACTAGATTAGGATTCTTGAAGAAATATAATTGAGCAAAAACGACTTTAACTTGGCAGGAAAGAGGACGGTGAAGGGAAGTATAATTGGTGGGATAAAAGAGACGCAAGAGATGATAGACTTGTGTGGAAAGTACAACATCACTTGTGATATTGAGGTGATAAAGCCCGAGGACATCAACCACGCAATGGAACGCCTCATCAACAATGACGTGCGATATCGATTTGTCATTGACATTGCTCAACACAAAGCCAAATATTGAGGAGACACATTATTCAACGTGAGAGACGAGAACTAAAATAAGATTTAAAGTGTATTCAATAGTTAGGTAATTGTGGTAATTGTTTGTGATAACTGTCAAAACAAGTATAGTTCAGCGGTAATTGACAGTTAGGAGTTGTAAGTTCGAAACCACTCCCCACATCATGTACTAAAAAAGTTTGTCATAACTTGTTTGTCTAGATGTGTTGGTCAAATTTCAATTTGGTTAAGATTCTATTTTTCGCATAAAAAAATAATAAAGATGAATAAATAAACAAAACTCAAAAAGGCTAACCTTAGATAATAAAGGAGTGGTTCAACAAAAAAAAAATATTAATTTTCTCATATTTCGATGAAGCTCAAATAATGAGATAACAAGACAAGGACAAATAATTTTGGAGGGCCCAAGTTGTCGAGTAGTTAATTACAGATATCATGTATCGAAATTTGTAGGTAGCTTTTAATAAAGTTTCATGATTTTAATTTTAAACTTTTAACTATGTCTACGAAAATCGTCATTGATGAAATAGTAAAATAAAGTAATAATAAACTATTTATTTCTGTGACAGATGAGACGATTTCAATATTAATATTGGACTATCTATAGTTTGAAACATGTTTATGAAAAATGCATATTGAAAAAGATTAGTTCGGTAGAAAAGCAGCCAAAAAATAAATGAAAAACAATGACATGTCTCAACTCTAAGTTTTCTTTATATACTTATCCTACCCAACACATTCCTCGTCTATATTAGTAAGGAAGTTTTAGATTTCAAAAAATATGAATCCTTTTTCTTTTGTTTGGATCAATTGTCTCCTGTCTAATCCATTTAGGTCATAAAAAATAAATAAATAAGTAAAAAAATTGTTGGATAATCTAATTCAACTTTTAAAAAATTGGTTTCAAATACACTCAAACAAAAAAAAAAAGAAAAATATTCTACCACCTCAAGTCCAACGAATATATATGGGGATGAAGATTCGAACCACGACTATGAAAAATTGGAATAGGATTACAATCCAAACCTTTCATTCATATTTGTTGGACCAAAAATTCAGCGCTTGACTTCAATGCCCAACCACCTCTGAAATTTCTTATGCGCAATTACCTCTGAAATTTCTTTCCAATGATAATAGGGACCGGTTTGGTTGGACCATTGTGTCAATACTTTAGTATATATTATTAGCGCCTATTTTTAGGCATTTTTAACTTTCATACTCCAGATTTTGTTGTTCTAAAATAATAATAACATTAAAAAAATATATATTTCTAATGTTTTAAAACTTTTAATTTTATCCCTAATTTAATTAAATTATTTCAACCAAATTGTTCTATTAAGAAAATATTAGCTGTGAAGGTTTGGATTAAGAAAAAACAGATTAAAAAAATGAGATGACTGCTGTCATAAATAATTTATTATATTAATAAAACATTAGAGTTTCGATGATGTAAAATTAGAAAAAGAACAGAAAAAAAGCAGATGATTGATTACTATCGTATATAAAATGCGTCAGAAATGGTTTTCTATTTGTTTTTTTGTTATTCTTTTATAAAGTTTGATTTGCTTTTTCAACCATTAGAAATTTACCTCCCTCTTCTCTCTTTCCATATATCTGACCCATTCCTCTCATCTCCCCTTATCAAATACTAAAAAATCTTGATAATTGGATGTCTCTTTTAGAAAATTAAAAAAGTTGTGCTATTTTTATTTTCAAAAGGGATTTGGAAATTGTGATGGAATGACTTCATACGACAACATTATTATGTAAATTTAAATCATCGTTTACAAATACATTCACATTTTTTTCAAAAAAAAAAAAAAGCATCATTTTTATACCAAAACTCTATAATTTCTATGTCACGTCACGTACCGATTGTTTAGTTCTCCCTCTAACCATGTATATTTTCATCCAAACTTATAAACAAGCATCTCAAGCTCAAGTCAACCACCTAGGAAACTATACTCCTAGCTACCTCCAGTAAAGCTTCATTCACTCTTGACAAAATTACGGAGATTTTGAAGGACTTCAATTCTCGAATTCAATATCATTTTTACTATATATATATTGACAACATTGGAAAAGAAAATCTGTCGGAACTTCCTTTAGCCAGATTCCTGTGAGTCCCTTCTCCACCGCAAGCTTCGCATAAGACTGCCTTGTTCCTCTCTTTTGTAGTGAGTAAAATCCACTTCCCTTAGATGTCGCGATAGATTAGTAATATCTTGAACAATCATACCAGTCAAGGATCAATTTTCCTTTTTGGATTTGATAATGGAGAAAATTTCTTGATAGCCACAACCAAGCTCTCTCTAATCGCCTTCAACTTCATCAACCTCCATCATACATTGCTTACCTTTCATAAAAGTAAAATCCACCCGCTTATCTGAATTTCTAATCGCCGCATCGGTGTTTAATTTCAGCATATTTCCAGCTGTAGGGTTCCATCGGATTCTACTCGTTTGGGGTTCATGATTAGGAATTGTTACTATATTTTAAGTTTTAAACTTTTCATTTATCTTTTTCAGTTACTCTTGAGCAAGTGATTGTTATGGTATTCATGTACTTGGAGTTACCACTTCAACTGTTTTTAGAGTTTTCTTGGTAGGCTACATGATAAAATTAAGATTGTGAGATTGGAAATTATTTTGAGTAAAATTTAAACTTATTGAGTCATGTGCTTCTCCTTTGCATTAAGATAACTTCATTTCTTGTGCTTTAGAATTGCATGCTACAATCAATGAAGTAGTCCTAGTCAAGATAACTTGTGGAGTATTCAAATCTTGGATTTGAAAACAAATTTTCCCTACTCTTGATCTCAAGGAAAATCTGTTCTTGGGTTCAAATCATCTTGATTTAGGAGTTTTAGGATTTGTAATCTAGAGGTTTGCATGACCATACAGATTCTTACATTAAACCCAATTAGCTAGAGTTTTCTTATCATACTTCTCACATTTGTTCCATTTTGATACTAATACTTCCAAACATCTTATTTTGCTTCTTAAACTTCAATAAAAACTTGATTTGGTCCTTGTTGTCAACCTTTTATATTTTATTTTATAAAAAATCTTTAATATCAGATTGATGTATGCGACTTTAAATTGCAAGGCTACATGATGCCACATGAGACTTCTATCAAATTTAGTTTTAAAATTAAGCAGAAAGGACCAGGAGACTTCTTATAGAATTCTCAATTCAGTGATCAAAGCACCAAAACTAAATATTTGAGAATATGAGGATCAAGATGAAATAGGCATGGAATTTCTAATATTAAAATATGATTTAAACTTCTACACCTCTATGAAATCACAAAAATGCCAGGCGAGGTGCATAACTATTTCTCAAGCTGCGAGATAAACCTGGCAGGTTAAAGAACAAATGGAGGGAAGCATCAATGGAAGAAATCTGAAAAGTTACTTGTTTGTGTAGGCGGATGGATGACTCAAAGCATTTCTCTCAGTCTTTTGTATTCTTCAAGGCTCAGCAATGACTCTTTGACTTTCAACCAATCTGCTGGTTTTGGCATAACAATAGCAATGTACCCTTCTCTGTGAGCCTGTAATAATATAAAGAGTTGTATTATTTGATCATGTCTGAATCTTGTTCTTTGAGACAAGTGATTCAATTAATGAATACCACAGATAACTGACCCAAGCTACATATTAAGGGAGCAGATGCTAAGACTCTATTTATTACTATTTTTATTCCGTAGAATGAATTCAGGAAAAGTAACAGATAAGCAAGGAGAACTGGCTTTTCTTCCCTTCCCCTGTCTTGCATTGGATCGATTTGGTGCAATTATCATAATCATGATTATAATAGTAAAAAAGTCAAGAAAGAAAGAAAGAAAGAGAACCCATTTCCAGAAAAATTATTGGTAAATGTTCCAACTGAGCGTTAATTAAAAATTTCACACTATAAAGAACTAACACTGTTAAAATTCCATCCAGCCAATCTACCACAGTAAATCGGCTGCTATATCAGTATTATTTTCCAGAAGTGGTTACAAAAACCTGCTATAGAACAAGTGATAAGACAAGTATAAGTAATGCGGTATGCTCATAGGAATGTGTTGATATAAGCACGCTTCTTGAACTAAGTATCGGCAATCAATATTTTTAAACCACAAACGACAGTTAAGTTAAAAGGTCATCCTCACCACAGTGTTGAGCAATTCTGGCTGCTTCATTAAGCGATCATTTACTTCCAATAGAGAACCTTTAACAGAACACCTATACATAACATAAAGATTTGACTCGTAATTGAAGAGAAACCAACGGAAGCATGATAAACAGCAATTGATAACAAGTGAAAAGATCCAACCTTACAATATAAGAAGCATCTTTGGTGACAACTTTACATAGAGCAGAGTTAGGCTCAAAGAATTGAGCGTTCTACAAAATAACACAAGTAACTTCAGCACAGAAATTAAATCCCAGCATCCAGATTCCTAACTTGGGGACAAGATCTAAAATTTAAAGTTGAGGTGTAAAGAACTATTTAAAAGGAAATCAGTAAAACGTTTGGCTATCAAATATGTAAAACCTCCCGATGTAATTTCTTATGGTTCCCCGGAATTCCACTAAAAACTAACCTCCATTCTGACAAAAGAACTCCATGATCAAAGATGGTTTTCAAAAAATGATCTAAAAACTGGTCTGTCCATGATATGGTAAGAAATGCCCTGTCTATGATATGGTGACAAAATGTCAAAAAACTGTTATTCATAGAGAATCATGTAGGAAATGGACATAATCTTCTGGTGACTATAATTTCATAAAATCCAAGGCAACATAAGTCACACGAGGCCACACCAGCACCTTGACAATAAGTGAAGTTTTACCACTACTAACATTTGTATGTACGTTTATTTCTACGAACCAGTTCGCAATTCTGCATCCACCATTTCTATACCTTCTTGCGTTTTCCGGTGACCTTGAAGCTACTGCGATCAGACTTCCCTACATTGAAATCGACGGCCGTAATACCACCACTATCTTTGAATGCAATGTGCGTAGAAGCCAAGCCAATCACGCACAAGCTAGATTAACAAAAATGAGGTGAATAAGAAAATAAGTGGAGCGGGGAATTAATTGTTCATCAGACAAACTAGTGAAAGAGATTTCAAAATCGTTACCCGTTGGCGTGGCGGTAAACGTACTGATCGTGACCTTGCTTCATAAAATCTGGAAACCAGACGACGAAATAGTCAGAGCAATTAGAGGGTTTAGGGTTTAATCAGAGAAATAAAACCTCCATTACGAAGAATTTGAAAAAGATATGGCTGCAGTGAACGTGCCGGGAACGAAATACGAGACGAAATTGGTGTCGACGGCAGAGGGAGGCGATAGAGGGAGATCACGAACATCAGGAACCAGAAGTCTACGTAACTCCTCGTCTTGTTCATCTTCTTGGGACGGTCTCGGCAGTGGTTGTGCCGGTTGTTGTTGTTGCTGCTCCTCCGGCGGCTGCGGTTGTGGAGTATTTCGAACCGTAGTCTGAACATCATCGGTTCCGCCGTGCTCCATCGGAGATTATTAGAAGCAACCGCTGGACGATCGGAGAATTTTAAGTTACCGACTGAAATAGCTCGGTTGCTGCGCTTCGTGGCGGGACGGCGGGGAAATGGGAAAGAAAATCTTCGTCGACAAAAGCCCAATGGGCCTTGTGGTTTGGGATTTCAAAGTAGGCCCACGAGGATAGGGCACTGTTTTTTCATAACATACGGAAAGAAGATTTCAGACAATGTCAATGTTGCCCCTACATTAAATAACGTCACATCAATTCAACACAAAGTTGCTTTTTTTTTTTTTTAAGAAAACACAAAATGTAATTTATACATATAATTCATCCACTACGACGTTGTTTCTAAAATTTTATTATTGTTTGTCGTAGGTCTTTTTTACTAGAAATAGAAATATTAAAGTTACGTCTAAGAAACAAACTTAAAATAATTCTATTAAAAAAAATGATTGAAATAGAATTTAAACGGTAAACTAATAATTTGAAATTAAGCAAACTGAAAATAATCTAAAAAGCTGAGTTTTACAAATACACATAAAAATCACTTTAACTTGACTGTATTGAAATTCGTGTTCTGAAATAAGCCATTTTATAGATACACAAGTAAAACTGAATTCCTGAAAACAATGTCATTAAGCAAACTTGACATATTCTGATTCTCAACCTTTCCAACATAAAATCAACTATGTGATGGCATTATATTCCGTCGCTTTTTTCCTGCACAATTCCACTTTATTATTGAACATGTTCATGCAATTCGCAAATCAATATATCGAACCGATTCCCTCGGGAGTCTGCAAATCTTCATTCTTTAAATCCTTTTTAAACATTTAGATATTATATGTGTTTCTAAAAAAAAAGGCAGGAACAAACAATTTCACTCAACAGTAAATCATTCAACAAAACTAAACAATGAGTAGATATTTATAGATCTCACCGAGTGTAATAGTCAATCGTCAAATTTATGTTGAATAAGAAAGAAAAATTAGAAAAACAAAGTATTAATACCTTCAAGACAAAACTATAAAGTTTAGAAGCTTTTTTTAGTTCATTCAATCTTCGATCGAAAATATATACTTTAACTAATTGAGTTAGGCTCAAATTGATTATAACCTATAAAACATTTTAAACTTCAAGTGTCCAAAGAAAGTCAACTAATGCATGATTATATGGTCAATCCGAACATAATTCAATTGGTTAAGACAAATAACATCAACTAAAAAGTCTAGAGGTTGAATCTTCAACCACACCCCGCATATGGTTGAAGTTGAAAAAAAATTGTTAAACTAAAGTTTTCTAAACCAAATTACTATAACATATCAACCAAACATGATTTCGACTTGATTCTAACCCAAGGTATCACCAACCACAATAATCACATGAAATGAGGGCGAGGGACAAGGGACAAAAGACCAGAAAAGAAAGTGACTCGCACGCAAAAATAGGCAAGTAACAAGAGAAGAGAGCGCTGGAAGACACCAGAAGATCCCTAAACTCGAATAAAAGAATACACTGTCCGGCCAAGAAATTTTTTTAAAAATAAAATACAAACGTCAAGCAGCTCACCTAAATCTACAAGAAAACGAGTCGCCACCCTCCATAGCGACTCTTTTAAACACTTCCAAATCTAATTATGATCAAAGAAAGGGAGAAAAAATAAAAAACCAAATTCCTACTGTTAATATAGTTGTCCTTGGCAACTAGCCACTAAAATAAGAGAAAACCCTAATGATACATCAGAGGAGTCATCCATCATAATTGCATAGAATTAGGATTTTAACCTTTCAGCACCTCATGCAGCAGCTTGGATCGGTCCATTAGTTCTGAAACCACGGCCCCTCCCACGAAAACCACCCCTTCCACGTCCACGACCTGAAAATATAAGCAAATTCTGCTGTGACAAGTCATAAAATCATATAAAGTAAAGCACCAAAAAAATGAACGAAAACGCCTTCAGCATCACAGACAAGACAGTATCAACCACTCTCCACAATGGAATATTAGAATAAACTAATCTAATAGAGAAGAGGGAGACTCCACTTCCAAAATCAGCATATAGCAGCTAAACACTAGATAGAAATCGATTAAAAACCATACTGAAGAAGCAAAATAAAAAATTACCTCGGCCTTGAAGTGGAAAGTCTTGGTTGTATCCTCCATCTTGCTGTAAATAAAATTGCGGTCCATTGTATCCTCCTCTTCCACGGCCACGGAAGTTACCACCACCCCTCCCTCGACCCCTTCCTCTTCCATTACCACCCCTGTTACGATCCCAATCTCCATCATCATATTCATTTGCCACAAACCCATTACCTGGGGGTCCTAAAAACAGGACAAAAAAATAATAATAATAAAAATGGTTACAGGGGAACGTTCACTCTCCTTGATGCAAGAAAATTGAATGAATTTCAAGAAAACTATAACCCCTTATATTGGTACTGGAAGTCAGCAACTAACCATAAACATCATCTTCCAAGCACAATAACATCAGGGGAAAATGACAAATGAAATCTGACTCAACATACCTCTACCCCTTGACCTTCCTCTGCCATTGCGGCCTCGTCCTCTACCACGTCCTGGACCCTGATCATGAGGTGAGCCCTCTGCAGTTTGCAAAAACATCAGGTGTTGACCACTTCTCAAAATATAAGTATAAAAATAAATTAATACACAAATATGATATGGCATTGTGAGCACCTCCTTCGTAGTCATACTCAACAAATGTTTTCACCAGTTCAGCAGGAAGTGGAGGCTGGTACCTGAGGCAACAATAACATGTGAGACAGTTGTTTATTTGTTGAAGAACTTCTCCACAGTTCAAAGATGCATAAGACTAACAAATCTAAAGACTCCTAAGGAAAGACTGACAGAACTGGTGAAATTCTTAGCTACAATTATTCAGTCCACAGATTTACTTTCATAAGAAAAGGCACATCTGAAAATTTTTAACAAATGAATCTGGGAGAGGAGACGAACTTGAGGTTTCATAGATGTTAAGTGCCAGAAATCAGAAAATAAATAAAATGGAGTATATGTTCAGACAATCTGATTACAATTAACATATTCATCTTCAATTTAAAATAATAATAATAATAATAATACCTTCAAGATATACTAAAAGCAAGTGAAGACTCACCCCACAGAGGATTGGTTTAATTCCTTTTTCGAAAGGGTAATCACAATCATCGAGACATGCCTCGTTGTTTCCAATCTGTAACAAGCAGCAAATAACTCTATAAAACCAAAGCAAAAGATGGCAGGGAATTTTTCATTGCATTCAAAGACTCGTGGCAGTGAAATAATGAATATAAAGTAAAAAGCTAGATTAAATAATCCTTGTTTGACGTATTGTTCGAAATATTCTTACGGAAGAAGGCCTTCCTCCAAGGGTTCCCATGTATCAGTGATGTCTGTGGAGCCAATTGAGGTATTTTGATGAAGACCTACAATTCGCCTCTGAATTTATCAACAGACATATTGTCAGCACAATCTCAAAAGTAATCGAGTGGTTCAGCATCAGCAACAAGAACTATCACAACAAACCTTGATTAGATCCACAATCGTCACGGTCTTATTTATAGCCCTTCCCATTGCCTTGAAAACAATCTCATTGGAACCTTTTTCCTTCATAACATACAGAAAATGGTACATAATATTGTCAAATAAGTGTAAATATAAGAGCGTGCATTTCCCTCTAAAAAAGTGTAATTCGCATAGAAATGGAATAAAAGGATTTTGAGGCTCATATTCTCACGTCGAGATTTACTGCCTTCCCTGATCGCACCTTCATGAGGACAAAATGAATTATTTTTATAAAAAAACACAACCAGCTTTCATAGAGAAAACTGGAAGAAATACAAAAGGGGCAAACAAAAACAGCCCAGCGAACCTATCTATACGAAAAAGAGCTCCAATCCAAAATAAACGAGCTTAAAGGACAAGCCAAATTTGAGAGTCTTCACATCTCATGTAAAGATTTAAGGAATAATAAAACTTAATGCCTTTTCAGAATAATATAAAAATTTCAATCAAGAAGCACGGGAGAGCATTATACTACAGTATATAAATAAGGGAATTTTACTCACAACAACACATTAAGAAAAAACATGAAGCATCCAGATATTTGCACATAACAAAGTGAAAATAAGCTAATAATTTATTTTTACCGAAACAGCTCGATGATGAAATGAAACAAACCGAACCCGCAATGTATTAATTTCATAGCGAGAGGAGCTTTTACATTAATAAATTCACAGCACGCATTAATAGTTTTAGAGAGACAATTAACGCCCTAAAAGGGTCAAATACATGAAAGGCATCTGAAAGAGAGAAACCTGAAGTAGGGTCATGGCATATGTGATGTAGTTGCGCATCCTTCCCTGGCTTGTAATCCGAATCTCATTCTCGTCAATTGGAGTCTCAGCCCTCGGCTTCTCAACCCTGTGGTACCGATCCATCTGCACACCCAAAAGAATCACCAGATTTTACAGACGAAAGCACACAAAATCAGTACTTCCCACTCCCCCAGGCCACAAAACAAACACATACATGAACACGAAGCTTCCCAGCCTACGAACCAGAACGAAACAAAAAATAAAATACAGAAACGAAAGAGAAATGAAACGAATCTCCAGAAACAACAAAAAGGAAGCATACTTGAAGCTATGTGGTTCGATCTGAAAGACTTACCGCGATTGAAAATAGGATAAAATACGCTCCACAAAAGAGAGCCCTCTTCTACGGCTTGTTTCTTCTGTTACGCCCTAAATCGCCAACACTGGTGTTTCGCCCTTTATATAGTAGCGGCACTGTTACGAAAACTACCCTAACCGACTCCTTCAGCCGGTCCAATCAAGGGTTTTCTCTCTGATATTTCTTTTCCAATTATCGATTTCGACTTTGGAGATATTTATTAGAATAATTACTTCAGCTTATCATCCACTGCCATATAAATTATTCATGTCATTCAGATAACGTTGCTAATTATTTTATATATTTTACTTTTGCCACGTACATTAAGTGCCCCTTTTTGATAATTTACGTCTTGATATTTTAAAATTCTCAATTTTATCTATTAAAAATTTTCAATTACATATTTCTAAGGAAAATTTTGTTAATCCTTTAAAAAAAATGGTTAATAAAACTTGCATATTTTGAACGTGAAATTTTGTTAATTTAATATTTTGATATTTTGGATTGTTTTTAACATTTTCAACCACTTTTATAGGAGGGATTTAATGGATAATTTAAATATTAGAAACTAAGTATATTGAGCAAACAAAAATTTTATTAAAAAAATAATGAAAATTTTCCCTAGCATAAATTTCACTCTCATTTGATTTCAAGTAGAGCGTAACTTTAATAATTTTCTAGTCTTTAATTTTACAACTTCAAAAAAATTACATTTTAAATTTTATGCTATATTTAAAAATATATATACTTTCTAAATTATTTATGTAATTACCGCTACAATCATCGACCATGTTATCTCAATTATATGATTAACTTATTTAGCAACCCCTCACAAAGCGGACTTGAAACTACCAAAAATGATGAAAAAACTTCCTAATCGATTACTATAAATTAAAATTATGATGGTCATTTCTGCAATATCTAAAATATTGGACTACTTTTCAGTTTCGGGCAAATATGGTCATTAGAGTCAATTCACAACGAATATTGAGAGCTTGGGCCACATGGTCCCAGCTTGTTGAGAGTGAACTTGGGCCTAATAGTCAGGCTTTCCAAATTATACGGCCCATTCCAATACAAAGACAAAGATAGTGCCCTCGTAGGAAGGACAATAAAATCAAATCAAGTAACTCAAAAAAAAGTCCCGTCTTTCCTCCGAAAAAGAAAAATTATTGTAGTTTCCTAGCCTTCTCGTTTATTGTTTTCTATTTTTAATTTTTGATAAATGTAAAATATTTGGTAATAGTTTAGGTTTCTTATTTATCATTTTTAAGAAACGTTTTTAAAATTATGTATAAATTTAAGAAACAAAAAAGTCAAATTTTATCAATTTCTATTTTTTTCTCAAAATATAAGTAAAAGTATTATTTTATCATTATTCATAACAAATATTAAAAAATATAAATATAACATAAAAGTTTGAATATTAAATTTAAAAAAATTATTTTCATATAATTTTTTAATTTAGTCATAGCGGCTTGGATCTTCCCCTTTTAATCTCTAAAAATTGCTTCAATCTCTAATCTCTAAGACATCACTTCCTCTTCATTTTAGAATTCTCATGTCTGGTATAATAATGGATATTCAACACATATATACTTATTCTTCAGACAGTTCATACCATCCATACATAATGTTTTGATCTAAGATACCAACTGAGTTATCTCGGTCATTTCCGATATATTGTCCTTGTTTTAATAGATGACGTGGGTCTATTTCAATTGTAAATAAATAAGTATTCCAAAGTTTTCTTTTTGAAGATCCACGGGACGAAATTGAAGAAGAGAAGAGAGTCTCGAACAAGGAAAAGGATCCGTATTAACTACTACTCTAGGAATAATGTTTTTATGCGATGCTAATGATTTAATAACTATATTTGTAGCTCTAGAATGTTTCAGTTTATGCTCCTACCTATTATCTGGATATACCAAGAAAAATGAACTTATGAGGTCTTGTTTCTATAGTAGACCAATTTGTTTATGGTCCTTTGTAGAGAATAGAAACCATAGATTTGTAATCAATTATTTATGATTACTCGGAGGAGGAAGAAGAGTATTTCATTGCTGCAAATATGGATTATTGAAAAATAATGTCTTTTATTTTTTCAATAATAAAAAAACAAGAAACAAGAAATAATTATTGAAGGCATATTTTTTATTTATTAATAAGAGGAAACAATAAAAGAAAAGTATTGTCAAAATATTTATAGGTGGAAGATCGAACTTACAATCTATGGATGAGAGATATACACCAATCACGAATTAAGCTATGCTCACTTTAGCTGAAGTTACAAAATTATTAAAACAGATCCCGTAAAAGAAACTAATTGAAATTTTCAAAATCATAAAAACCAGGCTCAAACTAATTCCAAGCTATTTCTCAAAATAATAATAATAATAATAAAAGACACTAATTCCAGGCTTAATTTGTATTTGATCCCACCTAGAAGTAAAACAAAATAAAATTCTCGAAACTCAATTTCCGATTCGATACAAGACAGCAAAAACCTCAAATAAATTAAAAGCACACCCAAACATTCCCCCTAGTAGAAGAAACTGTGCTATAGACCAAGGCCTCCAGCGACTGACCATCGGTCCAAAAGCCTGCAAGGAGAAGTTACGGCGGATGGACAGTCACTGAAAATTTCAGCCACGCGCCTCGCAGCAGATAACGAAGTCAAGAATCCTGCCTATGCCATAAACCCCTATCTGTAGGACCACAAATACATTTTGCCGAAAGGACCAAGTTGCTCCCGTTTTCAAACCTTATCAACTTCTCAAACGAATGCAAGCAGTAAAAGGTACTTCAAACGGTACACTATTTCAAAAACTCCGTTGCAATGATCGAGTTATGCGATTTATTTTTTTAATTAACATGTTCTTGAAGAATGTGTAAAGCACTCCTTGATTAAGTACATTATCCATAAAAAGGCACGTTCCTTAGCTTGGTTAAATGGCCATAAAAGTTTGTAAGTAAAAGGATTCAAAAATGAGGACGACGAGCAGGAAATATAGCATTTTAAGGTTGAGAGGCACTGTAAATAACAGATGCCAATAATAAAAGCATTACCAAAACGGTCCACAAGCGTTCACAGAATGCCAAACACAGGGCCAATGGTCATGAACTACGTATCCAAAAAGAGTCAAGTTAACGCTGAACATGAGTTAAAGCCACCTAAATCCTAAGAGCCTGAAAGCGATGTTAAGATCGAAAGAAAAAACTGCACGTTAGGTTAGGCAAGACGCAGAAGTTAGGCCTCGACGGCTTCGGTTTTCTTGGCCGGAGTAGCAATGAGCCAGATGAAGCCGAATGGATCCTTCAGCTTGGCAACGCGACTGCCGATGTACGGGCCATCGCCTTCAGCAATCTCAGACTCTACAACAGCTCCAGCACTCACGGCCTTCGAGACAGCGTCTTCGATGTCCACCGTTTCCAAGAACAGCACAACTCTCGATTCAGCAACTTTTCCGCTGAAAAATTACATAAAAAGAAGGAACGATTGGTATACAATGTTTGAAACACTACAAAAGCAAACAAGGCATCCTAACAAAAAACGAGAAACGATCTGCAAGACGACAAAGGCTGGGAGGCATGCAGACATAGAAACAAAATGTACGAAACAAGTCTCTTAAACTTCAGATCAACATAAAACAAAACGAGAGGTCAGTGAGCTTCAGCACGTCTCTAAAAGAGGCATTCGGATAGAGTGGCCGGAGTTTGAACAACGTGCCGCAAAACTGCGGAAAACGCACAGAAAATAACAAAACACATGCAGTAGCGACTGATTGTTCCGATCTTACAAAGAAGCACATGAGCGAACAGAGAAATAAAAAGGAGAGGGAAGGAGAAACTCACGCAGCAGCAGAATCGTCAAAAACATCAGAGACTAGGAAGGTGAAGTCAGAAAGGCTGAGCTCAGCGGAGAGAATGGCCGGAGTTTCTTGCTCAGCCTTGCGTTTCGGATGCAGAGTACGGCTGACCTCCTCCGCGCCGAAGGCAGCCTTGTAGAACAGCACGGCGTCGGTAGCCTTCGGCGCCTCCACGAGCAGTTGAGGCTTGAGAGCCTTGAAACTCAACGCCTTCTCAGCTCCTCCTCCATTCTGAACCTCCGATTGCGCCATTGAAGCGACGATTCAAGCAACACGAAAAGGGGGAAGAAGGAAGAACGATAGGAAACCCTGAGAGAGAGAAAACTAGAAGACAAACAGTAATGGCGTGAGGAAAAGAAACCGGCTACTGAGACGCTGCATTTATAGAGGGAAAAAAGTTGGTGCGCGAAATGGCAATGAACGGTGGAAATCGAGGAGTTGCATTCCATAAATACCCCTTTTATTTCAATTAATTTATGATTCGTGCCCCTTGTCCCACTCCCACTGCGTTTGACATGACCGCACTGCACATTGTTGTAAGAAATTGTTTTCATTTTTACCGATTGTAAATATATATTTGGTCCCTACTTTTGTTTTTGCTTTTCTTCTCTTTTTTTTGGAGTTCAATTTCATACATAATTGAGGTCCATGGCCCAAGGCTAAGAGGTCAAGAAAAGCCCATGGGCTACCTGCGGGATTGAGGTCCATGGCCCATGGGCTACCTGCCTTCTTAAAGATCCAGAAGGATTGAGGTCCATGGCCCATGGCTTTAGAGGTACAGAAGGCCCATGGACTACCTGCGTTTTTAAAGGTCCATCAGGCTCATGGCAAACCTGCGTTCTTAAAGGCCCAACATGAGATCTCGACAAGGTTTGGCCAGGGCCACACATCCAATTTCTGGAGAACTTAAGCATGTATTTTATTTATTTATTTTTTTCTCATTACGTGTTCCAAGTTACATATCAAAATTACTCTAATTACAACATTATCTAAACTTATCAACTCGACAATAGTGCCCTTGCAACGAATTCTCTTCAAATATGTAACGTTGCATCTAAAACATTTTCTTAGTATTTTGTGAAAAATAGTTGTACTTTGAGAATTAGGAGAGGCCAAATTTTAGTAAATAAAGTTAGAGATACATTACCATTTCATAAATTTCTTATAGATCTACGTGACATAAAATACTAACCACTTTCTCAACCTAACACGACTTTAACCACTTGAAGTGGAACGATGGAATGAACATCAAGAAAATAGAAAAAAAAACATAGTTGAATTGAGAAAACATGTAACATACTAGAAATTAAAAAAAAAATTACATTTTTTATTTAGATAAAAGAAAAATTACATCATTAGTTTTAGTAGACCATGTATGGTCACAAAGTGCATGCTTAAATTATTATAATTTATTTACAAGGGTAAAATAATTGAAAATAAATCGATAAAGGTAAAAAAGTAGTTTTGGGATGAAATCATGAATTCTGTTAATTGCATGTTGATTCTAATGATATAAAAGTTTTGAATCATTTCGGTCAGGAAAATGTGCCCAGATGAAGAAGTACGGGCAGCGCATAAAAAATCCGGGCAGTGTCGGATGATCAAGGTGGGCCCTTCCAATCTCAACTGAGATCTCAGCAAAAGAAGGCAAACTTCTAAACACGAGCTCTCCCCCTTTTTCCTTCTCCAAAATCTTTCCCTTATCAAAAGTTAGAAATGTCACCCAAAGGAAAATCAGGCGGATTTATTTTCAAGTATAAAAAAATAAAAATAAAAAACTCATTTTACCATAATTTGTAGGTTAAAAAACACATTTTGTCCTTATACTTTTAGTAGAGTAATAATTTAGTTCATAAACTTTAGTTTACAACGATTTAATCTTCATATTTTTAAACTTTAATATGTAACAATTTAATTCCTACACCTTAGTATGTAACAGTTTAGTCCCTATAATTTAAAATTTGTAACAATGTAGTTGATATCATGAACACTTTAGTCAAAATTAAGTATCGATTTTTATCCTATAACGATTTAGTCTTTGTAATTTATAAACACATTTGTTCATTTATTAGTTTATTGATCTAAATATATTTAAAAAACAAAATTTTTTCACGATAGGGACTAAATCGTTACAAATTTAAAACTAGTAAGACTAAATTGTTACATACTATAGTTTGAGGATCAAATTGTAACAAATTATAAAGTACAATGACTAAATCGTTCATCTATTGAAAATATAATGACCAAACGTGTTTTTTGACATAATTTTTAACTTTATTATGTTGCAGCTCAACCATTAAAAACAACTATTATAGTATATAAGCTTAAGAAATAAAAATAATCATTTTGATCTTTAATTCTTATGGGTGTCTATATTATTAGTCCCAAAGTGGAAAAAGAAGAAAAAAACACATAGCAGCAACCACAACATAATTTTAGGTTAGGAGTACACAAATGTATATAAACATAATAAAAAAATATCAATTTTAAACTTATTTTAGGAATGGACATCAATTTGCAGTTTAAACTTGGATGAGTGTTGAAGTTTTTACCTACATCTCAAATTTTACCATTTGATAAATTTATGGTTGGAATTTTGTTGAAATGTTAAATAAGTTTAGAAAATATATATTTATGTATGAGATAATTTATAGGACTTAGACAAGAATGACACTCAAGATGTTTTTTAAGTTAAATTGGTAAGATTTGATATAATTATTTAAAAGTAGATTTATCTATGGTAAGCTTAGAATTGTGATTTTAAATTTATCAAAATAAATATATTCTACAATATAAACAAAACTACACGTATTTTATTAAAAAAAAAACTCAATTAACATAAAATTTAAAATGATTAATTTAAAAATTATTTATTGGGCAATCACAAAATAATAAAAATATATTACAAAAACAAAAATCAATAGCCATGACAATATATTTAAAAAAGCAACATTCAATAAAAATATATCAAAATTAAAAAATATATTTAAAAAGTAAAAATCAATAAAAATATGTTTTAAAAACAAAATCACGTTGCTACTACCGCTCAATATCAAGATAGAGAGTCGGAGGCACGAAGGCATATAGATGAGGAAACTAACGGGCCAAACATCAATTTATTGAACATATTGTACCTTGTATTGGATTTAATTAAAATACAAGGACACGTGGCTTATGTTCCCTCGTGGTAGCTCATATTGGAAATATAAAGAAAACAATGATTTATAATTAAAAAAAACATAACAAAGATTTATAATTTAAATTATCTCCTTATCAATTAATTTTAAAATGAAATTTGAATGTTGATATAATATCAAAGTCCAAAAATTCAACCAAATATCTTCTATCTTGTAAGAACATGTTAATAATCCAATCGATTAACTTAAACTTTTTGATTCATTAACAGTTATTCATGTTTAAGAGTTAGAATAAAATTTTTAAAGAAAGATTTGTAAGTCTTTCTTTTTCAGAAATTAACCATGAACTAATTGTGGATTGGATGCTATGTCTGGGATTTATGGAAAGCGTAAGAATGAAATTTGGAAAAAACCAATATGATACATTAATCATGAAAGTTGAACGAAAAAAATAAATAATAATCATCAATTGTACCTAAAAAGAAAAAGAATAATCAAAAGATTTCGTAAAATAAGAATAAAATTATTTGAGGTCCATGTCGTGTCGAAGATTTCGAGTGAGAGCGCCACGTGTATTGTAGCGAGAGGAACACGAGGCGATAGGGCAGCTGGATGGCAGGTCCCGAAGTTCAATCAGGCTAGCTTTTGGCTTTTCTTTTGGTGTGTGTAAAAAGCGAAAGGGTGGGGCCCTCCAGCTTTTGGTTGCTCTGCTCCCAGACGGCATTTGGCTGGACACGTGGCCCACGGATATAGGATTCTATTTTTCTTGCCCTTTATGGTGGGGCCCGCTTGATTCGCAGCAATTGATGTTCTTGTTGGCCCCGCCAACTCTTCCTTCGTTCATTGTACGGCCCCCTTCGCCAAACTTGCCTTTTACACGTGTATTACTTATAAAGGAATTTTACAATTTTTTTAATCATTAAAAGCCTAAAAGGAACATAATTTTTTAAGTTTATCTACAAATAAGGTTCTATTTTCCCTTTTTTTTCTTTTCTTGGGTGGTTTTTGGCTATTAGTCCCTCCACTTTAGAAAATCTTGATTCCGATCTTTCAATTCTTTTGTGTTCGTATTTCACCCACAAGTATTCTATAAATGTTCACATTATATTTTTTTCTTTTTTTAGTAGACCTCATATATAAATAATAAATAGGCCACATATTTTTCTATTATTTAGAATATGATTTATTGGATAATATAGATTACCACGATAAAGTTCCACTAGTTTTGGATACATTGTTAGTGATCGGTTTTATTTTTCCATTGAGACCGAACCTAAACCTGTGCTCGATTCAATTACAAATTTGATTAATGAAATTTGAGGTCGATATCTATTTAATTATTATACTTTTAGAAGTGTTTACGCTATAATGTTCTTTGATACGTGGAGTAAATATAACTATATTGATTCTCATACATAGTAGATATAATATATGATACTCTTTAATTTGATCAAGCTATGTCTTAGGGACAATTATTCACTTTAGTGAGCTTGAGTTTACTTATATTTTATCCTTATCTCACCACATGACACAACTTAATTAGAGATGGTATGTCCTCATCTCACCACATGACACAACTTAATTAGAGATAGTATGTCCTCGTAAAATAAATTATTTTAATTGGCAAATTTTCATGTCTTTTAATTTAATTTTGATACATATGTCAGTTGGTAATTAACATAATAAATAATAAGGTGGTAATTTATGGTTGACCAAAATTTATCATTCAACAAAAAAAAGTATAATATGTTATCGAGTTTTAGTATTGTGTTCATAAAATCTATCTACTAAGTTTCGAATAGATGATTAAACTCTAAATCATGCATCTAATAAATATTTATTATTCTATCCACTTAATGTTAAGTGATGGATTTAAGCTATCGTTGATTTCAAGTGTTTGGTGAGATACGTTGAATTTAGCATATGTTGTCGTATGAGTTATATAAGCCCTTCCATATTCCGGCTTAATGGAACTTACTATTTTATAAGGCAAAACACAATYATAAAGTTCACGATATATTAATCAACATAAATTTAGGTGCAACGTACCWTAAAATGGGAGATCAATAGCATCGTCCAGTGTTACAAGATGCAATATCCCTTTTTTCCCATGGCGATAGAACAAGACTTGTACATTTTTTTTTTATCATTAATTTCACTTTTTTTTTTCAAATAGTTACTTTATCTTTAAATAATTGTATCCAATTTTTTTATGTCTTATCTTCTAACAATGGAAAGATCGCGTCAAAAGGCAAAAGCCAATTATAGATAGCTGGCGGTATTAAAAGTTGTTGGAATTTATTTTAAAGTATTTTTTTTTTTACTAAAAAAGTTTTTTTTTATTTTATATTATCTGATCTTTAATTAAGCACTAGATCATAATAAAGTCTAAGAAAATAATAATAATATTTCTCAAAAGAAAAGAAAGACAGAAAATAATAATAACAAATATACTAGCTCATTATCATAGAAACAAACTAAATATAGATAGAGATGAGACGCATTTAATATATGGTTATAATTGGCAGCAAGTTCAAATCATATGGTTTTTTTTTTTAAATTGCATTGACTAATTATAGAGCCTTGATTTTATGAATTTTGAGTTTTATATAGTTTATTAACTGTTTATAAACAATTTTGTAACTGTCTACATTGAAAATGAGAAATTCTAAAATTTAGACCTCGTAGATACAGCCGTCTATTTAATGTGTTTGGTACTTTGGTATAATATTTTTGTTGTTGGTAGTTCTAGTATGATTTATATATTTAATTAAATTTCATCTTTATTGTTAAAAAAATCATCTTTAAATATTTTAAAAGTTTCAATTATAATCGAAATTTTTAATGAAAGTTTTTCTTTGCAATAAAGTAAGCGATAATAATTTATAAGTTATAAGTTTCAATTATAAATTCATCTTCTGCGTTTAATATTTTTGCGGTGAAATATAAAAAATTTGTCATCATTTGATGATTTCAGATCACAAAATTAATTATCATGCTAACGTTTTCTTATTTTCCATTTTTTAGAAGTATAAACGTTTAATAACTGTTATTGTTTCTCATTTCTTATTCTTAAGAAGTGTGTGTAATTTTAGATAAAGCAAAACAAAATTTCATGTTTCTTGTTTTTAATAAATTGTTACCAAACATGATTATATTGTGTAATAAAAAATATTTACGTTTGAATTTGAACTACCATGAGAACACGCACAAGTTGAATATGACTTAGATATTCAAAGTGAAAAATGCGACGAATGACTACACAAAAATAATAAATACTTCGACGCTGACGCTCAAATAAGTAAGGAGGACGAGGAATCAAATATCATGTTTGGGTGCATAATCATGCTTCCATTTATTTACAAATTAGATGAATTAAGACTCAACCATTAGGTTGTTTAARATGACGTATTGARCACCACCACTRGAAATTTTTAAAGTGAATGAGATCTTTTTTTTAGCATAACACGATAAAAATGATAACGAAGAAAAAAAAGTTATTGAATACAATTTATCTATATATTGTTAATTGATAAAGAAAAAACGAAAAGCTAGAAATAAAATTGTTACCATGAAGTCAAGATCGCAAGATCGAAAATGCTTAGTCCAAAGTCGAAACACCCGAAAAAAGGGTTAGAACGGAGGAAGTGTGAGATGTGGGCAAATGGAGTCCATTCCCACCGTTGGATGAGATGGAGGTCGAGATCAGATATTCCGCCACCGCACCACACCTCGTACATAAATCCCCAACAATTTTCCCACACCAGAAAAAAAAATTAAAAAAAGAAAAGTCAAAAAGAAAATTAAAAGATAGGGAGAGGAGGCGCGACAGGTGTCTCCCTACTCCCTAGTTTAGTTTTCCTTTCATAATATCAATTCCAAGTCTTTAATGACTACACGGACCTCACCCCACCCCATTTCCACATTTCTGGGTTCCATTCCTCCGCCGCCGCCCCCACCCTTCTCCCGGTGCACCCTCGCCCCCCAGCCCCACATCTGGCCCCTCCTCCCCACGTGGCCAGATCACAGAGGTTCGGAACGGTGTGTACTTTATGGAAGGAGCAGAGGATGATAGTCTGGCGAGTGCTACGTGTCGGAGAGTTTATGCTTGATTTGGAGTAGCGAAGAGCGCAATGATGTGGAAAGAAAAATGGTTCTGAGGACTGAGGAGGGAATATAAGAAATGGAGTTAATAATTTATAAAACAGCAGTAGCAGTAGCAGGAGGAGGCCGGTGGCGGTGGCGGTGGCGGTGGCCGGATTTCGTTTAAAATGAAGGATGGAAATCGAGCTGTGACCAACGGTGGCTCTTCAAGTTTCTCCTCTCTTTTGGCTTCTGGAGATCGTGACTACCTCCTCTCTCCCACCGGAGCTCAGGTTCTTTTTTTCTSTCTCGCTCGTTACGACCATTCATAGATTATTTCCGAACCTCCGCCATGGCTTTTATTTATTTATTTTTATTTTTGTGAGAAAGCTGCAAGAAAGATAAATTTAATAATTAGAAATTTTCTTCCCAAGGAAGAGAGAAAGGTAGGAAATCAACGTCGGTATTACTATTGATTACTTTTTTCGAAGAGAATAGCAATTAATATTTACGAAATATTAGTCTGAAATTTGATTTTCCAAAATTTCAATGGTAGTAATCAAAGAGCGGAACGAGTCTAGCTAGACGAACATATGCGGTTGTGTTTCTGTGTGCACCATTGTCGGATTCGAAACCCAAAACGGCGTTGGATTTGGCGTTTTGGGCTTACAGCTGATTTAATTTCTTCGAGCAAGATGACGGAACGCGTACATAAAATCATACAATAACAAACCCCAACTCCTCCTCCTTCCCAAGATTATTCCCATTAGGATTTAGGATTAATCAAGAACAACATTTTTAGAGTCTTTAATTAGGATTTAAGTTTAAAGTGAACATTATAAACAGTAGTCGGTTTTATATTTTGGGTTGTGTTCAATGGTCGCTGGAGACGAGTGTCATCAAAATTTCTATTTATTGTTTGCGAATATTAATGAATGATCCTATGTTGGAGGGTACAAAACTGACCTTATAATGGTTTATAATAGACATATTTATTCAATTTTAGAATGTTGTATCAGAACTCAAAATACATACCATTCGGTCTAAAAATGAGATTGGACCAAATCCCATGAGTCAATCCGGAAAGGACGATTTGTCACACGATTAAACTCTCGAACACTAACGCCGCACCGCGTGTTCCTTTTTTACACATCTTCATTATGTGTAAATCACATCGCTTTCACACCCATTGGGCCATCTAACTAATCAGATTATTCCTTTATTTCAATCTGGGTGCAGGTTAAAGTCTCTAATCTGGACGGCAAGGTTCTGGGCCTTTACTTCTCGGCCAACTGGTACCCGCCGTGCCGGAGCTTCAACCAGATTCTGGTCCGGATCTACGAGGAGCTTCTGGGAAATGGCTCAAATTTTGAGGTGGTTTATGTCTCCTCCGACGAAGATTCCGACGCTTTCAACGAGTACCACGCCAGCATGCCGTGGCCGGCGATTCCGTTCTCCGACTTGGGTACCAAGATCTCTCTGAACAGGAAATTCGAGATCGAAGGGATTCCGTGTTTGATCATATTGCAGCCGTGTGATACTAAGGATGAAACGGCGTCGTTGTACGAAGGCGTGGAGATTGTTTACAGATATGGGGTTGATGCGTTTCCCTTCACAAAGGAGAGATTGCAGCAGCTGAAAGAAGAGGACAGAGAAAAGGAAGAGAATCAGACTTTATTCACTTTGCTCACAAATCACAATAGAGATTATGTATTGGGTCATCCCACCCCAAAACAGGTCAGCCACCCCCTCATTTTCTCTACATTTCCGGTACAATGTAGTTGTAACAGTTACATTATATCATTATATTGTAGGGTGTGACAATAATAATAAAGAGCAGTTAAATTGTCTATATAGATTATAGCTAGGCTTTGCTTGATATAACAATATATCCGCTAGTAAATTAGTGGCCAATCTGAGTTTATTTTAACTGGTCAAGGTATTTATCTCCAAAAAAAAAAAAAAAAAATTATTCAAACTCCGATCCCCTCTCATTAATGTGTGTGAAGATAAGAATAGAGGGTGGTGAAGATTTTACTTACCTTATCTTAATGTGAAGAAATGACAAAGCCATAGCCACTCGCATTTGTCATCAATGTTCTATGTATATGTCTGAGAATTGTACACGTCGATCCCATCGCTTTGATATTTTCGGAGCTACTGCTGTTTGGGCTGTTGCTGTTTATTGATGTCGGTCTGTCTGTCTTGTGATTGATATTTGATGGGATTCCTTTCTTTGAGTCCACTGCTTTTACTATTCGGGTATTTGATGGATCTTCTTTATTCCAACTCGTCCTTATCAGTTGAGTTGTCATTTTTGAGTCGAGTCGAATACTGTCATTTTACAGATCTGACATGAGAGTTTCAATCATAGTGATGTATTAGTGATATATGTGGTCGGGAATGGTAATTTTTCGACAACATTCCATTTTTTAGGCAATGTTTTCAAATTTCATGGGTGGAGAAGTTGAAGAAGCACTGTATTCTTTCTCATTGTTTGAACAAGAAATCGTATCAAAATTTTGAAACTTTTATGTCATTAGGGGTGATTATCCCCTCTGAGCTTGTCGTAGACTAAAAAAGTACACATAAATATTTAAGATTCTGTAGTTTTTCTCTCATTTGCTCGGTGGTTTTCGAGAATTTTACGTAGTTGATGTTTGATGCTTATTAGTTTCCTAAAAAGGATACTGAAGCTGGACTTGTCACAAACTAGTGTTTGGTGAAGAATAGTGGAGCTTCTCCATATTTTCTTGTGGGGTATATTGTTTATATTCTCGACGATTCTTTTCATTATTGTAGCCTGTAGATTGGACTTGACTCTGGATTTACCGTCCATTCAACTCGAGCTTGGTGTTAAAGACGAATTACTGATATGGATGATGATGATGAACAGTGGATGATCGATGAAATTTTGTATTTTGACGTTTCATTATGTATCATGGATTTCCTATTTTTCCTATCCCAATTGTGCAGGTTCCTGTTGCTTCATTAGTAGGCAAGACTGTGGGGCTCTACTTCTCGGCGAAATGGTGTCTCCCTGGCGTCTTCACGCCGAAGATGATCAGGGTGTACAACAAGATAAAGCAAATGGTAGACGTCAAAGAAGACGAAGACTTTGAGGTTGTTTACGTGTCGAGTGATCGAGATGAAGACTCGTTCCATTCTTACTTCGATTCGATGCCATGGCTAGCCTTGCCATTTGGGGACTCAATGATAAAGAAACTAGCCAAACATTTTGATGTCCAAGGCATCCCTTGTTTGATAATCTTAGGCCCCAATGGCAAAACAGTCACCAAACAAGGCAGAAACCTCATAAATTTGTACGGGGAAAATGCTTATCCGTTCACGGAAGCGAGACTGGAGGAGCTGCTGAAGGAAATGGAGGAAGAGGCGAAGAAGCTCCCGACTTTGGTTCGCCATGCCGGGCACAGACACGAGCTGAGTCTCGTGTCGGAGGGAAATGGGGGAGGACCTTTCATCTGCTGCGAGTGTGACGAGCAGGGTTGTGGGTGGGCTTATCAATGCCTCGAATGTGGATTCGAGGTGCACCCGAAGTGCGTCGAGACGAGCAACCACGGCTCGACCTCTGATGGAAGGTGATGCTGACGGTGACCTTGTGCTCTTGATCAACCAAATTGATATATAATTTCTTGGTTACTTCAGCTGTTCGTTCTTTCTTTGTCAACTTCCTAATTTATAACCTATCCAAGTACAATTCAATCTGCAGCTTGAAACCATTAGATCTGTAAATTATTTGATCTGTGCTAATTTCCATTTTCAAATGATTATGGATGTGTTGTAATGCTTTGATGAGTACAAAGTAAGAAATATGGCAGAGAATCTGTTCAATGGTAAGAATGTGTTTTTATATACTCCTTACCTCCTCACGAGGTTATTTGTTGTACTAAAAAAAATATCGACTAGAAGACGTCTAAATATCATCGACGTCTTTTTACTTGGAGTATTTTTTTTTACTTCGAAGATGAATCATCCTGTTGACTCGCAACCACCACCAGTGTGGCAGGTGGCTTTCGTTCTCTTATAGCAATTCTCCAGAGCTTGGGAGGCCGAAAGTTTTGTTCTGGGCCTATAAAACTGGCCCAAATGAGGGATGTGAGGCCCATGTTGTATCAAAAAATTATTATTATTATTATTATTCTATCTAAATGTTACATAATAAATACCCAGGATTAGGAAGCTAGGATATATTGGCCTAATTCCTTTCTTTTAGAAGATATTCCATTTTCATCTTTAATGTCTGTTTTGTATTCCTCAAGACTGACAAAAATTAAAGTAGTTATTGTAAAGCATGTTTGACAATTAGTACCAAACCATGCGTGTGGGCCATTGGAGGGACAAAAATTGTCAACAGTGATATTGATTAAGGTTAACTCGATCATAGTTAAAAAGGTTAAAATTGCTTATACCTTCCTTAAGTTGGAAGTTTCAGTTAGAAAGATTTTAATCTTTGTCGTTCCTTCTATAAGAACATGGATTTAAGATGATGCAAATTATTCTTCATTTTTTTAATCCAAACTTCTTTGTTATTTGTAATTTATCTTCTTATATGGAATATTTGGTTTGATAGTATTCCAAGGTCTGATTTCTCTTGTTTAATAAAGAAAAAAAGACGAATTTCATATCATGTAACTCGTAGATTCAATAATATAAAATAATATTTTTATTCACGTTTTAAAACAATTTGAAAATGGAACAAAAAAAACAATAAACTTGTTTATGTTGTTTTCAAAATTTCTATATAATTTTGAGAATAGATAATAGTTGTCAAAYGTGGAAATGTTAGAACCCGTTTGGTGAGGTTCCTGTTCATTTTTAATAAATAAAAAAAAATTTGTATGGTCCCAATATCCATGAATTCAAGTATGATAAAACCATATCTTTATTATGTTTTAGAATAAATTGGAAATGGGAACAAAGAAATAAGAAATTGTTTTGATTGTTTCCAAAAGTTTTATATAATTTTGAGAATGTTCCAAAAGATCATAAAAGTCAGATGTAAAATGGTTAGATTTTTTGAAAAAATTGAAAATAAAAAACAAAAAAATGAATGTTACAACATCTGRGATTGAGGATTAAACTTAGAATTTCTTAATTGAAAATATATGACAATTACCACSTACCTATGCCCACTTTAGCATCAAACACGTCCTTAATTTACTCAGTTGAGYCCAAGATAAGAAATAAGAAATGAAAATGTTACTTACTRGTCTCTRACTAAATGTGAACTCGAGCATGACTTATATCTTCCCTAGAGTTAAAAGGTTGGATAACCATTTCCATATCGGTTGAATTAAAAAAAAAAAAAAAGAAATTGTAATGCTGAAAAGTGAAATTTGTGAAAGCTTGCAATAAAAATTACAGGGAACGGCCAGTGGTACAGAAAACGCATAACAACTCTCACAAACTTTCTTAATTTCCCTCCAAGAAACCGATCTCTTCTCTGCTCTCTCATTTTTTTTTTCTCTGTTTTCCCAAAACAACAAAAAGTGGGAGAGAATGATGCTGAACACCAACCCAATGCCCAAAGCAAAGCACAGAATAAAGTAGAACAACCAAAATCATCTCCCTCAAACTCATTCCCCTTTCATAAATTCCACATTCCCAAACACTTTCAATTCCAAATCCCCCCAAGAATAAGAAGAACAAGAACAAGAATCCTTCCCCCTTCCGCCATGGGTCTCTGCTTCACCAGAACCCGCGACATCCCAATCGCCTCCTTCACCTATGGCTCCGACACCCCTCCCCCTTACCACCAAATCCCCCAATCTCACGCCCCACCAAAGCCGCCTGCGCCGCAGCCCATTCCCTCTTACAAGTCCGTTCCGCCGTCCCAGATTGGTCCCATCACCGGCCGCCCATACATCAACATAACCACAATGTACGAGCTCCACAAGGAGCTAGGTCGAGGCCAGTTCGGGATTACTTATCTCTGCACCGAGAGGGCTAGCGGGCGGAAATACGCGTGCAAAACGATTTCGAGGAGGAAACTGGTGAATCAGAAGGATGTGGAGGATGTGAGGAGGGAGATTTTGATTCTGCAGCATCTCACTGGGCAGCCCAATATTGTGGAGTTCAAGGGCGCCTACGAGGACAAGAGGAATCTGCATCTGATTATGGAGCTCTGCTCTGGCGGAGAGCTTTTCGATCGGATTATCAAGAAGAAGAGCTACTCGGAGCGGGAAGCCGCGTCGATTTGTAAGCAGATTATGAATGTGGTTCATGCCTGCCATTTTATGGGGGTTATGCACAGAGATTTGAAGCCCGAGAACTTCCTTATGGTCAGCCAAGACGACGATTCGCCGATTAAGGCTACGGATTTTGGACTCTCCGTTTTCATCGAAGAAGGTTGGTTAGTTTCCGATTCTCCTCACCCTTGTTTCTGCTTTGATTTTTGCCCTCCAGATTCATGACGTATTTCGAATGCTGGAAAAATAATTCAACAGGCCGCTAACGTTTCATTAGATGCTAGTTCAAAATCTGTCWGATTATGAAATACTCTGTATTTTTTTTATAAAATTGATTGTGTTTGATTAAAATTCTAAAGAGGGGTAGAAGTGTTTTTAAGCTAATCACTAATGGAGGTCCTCTTAGAGTAAAAATGGCATTCAAATTCGAATGTAAGTAAAGGTTACGATGAATGCCACTGTTGCGTTGACCAAGTCAACGAAGAAAAAGAAAGGTCAACCCCACTTCATGTAGCGCCAAAAGCATGCAACATGAAGCTTTTGTCTGGGAATAGCTCAGTTCTAAACCAAGTCATGGAAGAAAACAAAACTGTTGCTGTGCAAATGAAAACGCCAAACAAGTTCGTTACCAAAGTACATTACGAGAATCGATGAACGATTTGAGACTAAAACAAAATATTTGGAAGAATACGGCTGCAATGAAGTAAGTTATAGAAGTTTAAGAATCAAAATTTAAATAGTCAAGTTAAAAAAGTAAGTTATAGAAGTTTAAGAATCAAAATTTAAATAGTCAAGTTAAAAGATAACTCTAACTAATTAAAATACTTATCTTCGACTAAAAGATCGTGAGTTCGAATTCCAACTCCATATATTGTACTAAAGAAAAGGATTTGAACATGTTTTTTTTTTCTTTTATTATTATATTAGTTGTGTTTTGCGCTGAGTTTTGGGGATTCCCTGGCTTTTTAACAGCTTTTGTGTGAATGAAAATGATTTTGCAGGGAAAGTATACAAAGACATAGTTGGAAGCGCATATTATATTGCTCCTGAGGTTTTGCTGAGGAGCTATGGGAAGGAGATTGATATCTGGAGTGCTGGAGTAATTCTCTACATCATCTTGTGTGGAGAACCTCCATTTTGGGGGCGTAAGTAAAACCATTTCACTTCTTAACTTCATCAACGTCCCATTTGTTAACGGTTTTGTTGTTTTAACATTTTGAATTATTCGTCATATTGCAAAACAAAGAAATGGTAATCTTGTTGAATGAGCCTCCATTCTACTGTTGAGTAATTTGTTTTTTTTCCCTTTGCCTCTTTTGCCACCTTCTCAAAATTTGCTTATTATTGTACTTGATTATTTCAACTATTCTAAGATGTAAAGAGGAAAGTTGATGCAGTTGATTTTGTTCAGTGTTGGAAAAACCAGCCTTGGTGTCTTTGTGCCTGACTTTTTCTTCTAATGATCTTACGTTCGGATTCTATTAGAGACGGAGGAAGATATAATTAAAGCAGTTCTGAAGGGCAACCTTAAAATGGAAGATGCTCCATGGCCTTCCATATCCGCTTCTGCTAAGGATCTTGTCTCTAAAATGTTGACAAGAGACCCGAAGAAGCGGATCACCGCTGCCGAAGCACTCGGTAAGTAAGACTACTTCCCCAGTTCATAAATATCTCGATTGCTCTTTGGAAAACTCGAAATTTGATCTTCCTCTGTTAAGACCTTTAGTTGATCAAGGATTCGTTATTATTGACATAACATTGATGGAACAGAACATCCTTGGTTGAAGATTGATGGAGAGGCGTCTTCCAAGCCCATTGATAGCGCCGTGCTCATTAGGATGAAGCAGTTCAGAGCAATGAACAAGTTTAAGCAACTTGCTCTCAAGGTACCTTCCTATGATCTCTGTACTAGGAAAAGAGTTTTCAGTGGACTGATTCAAAAAGTAAGCTGAATGTTGTTGGTAGGTAATGGCAGAAAACCTTTCAGAAGAAGAATTAAAGGGTCTGAAACAAATGTTTAAGAACATAGACACTGATAGAAGTGGTGCCATCACATTTGAAGAGCTGAAAACGGGTTTGTCCAGACTCGGTTCGAGGCTTTCGGAACACGAAATAAAACAACTAATGGATGCGGTAAGAAGGGGCGAAAAAACACTCTCCGACTCTGATCCCTTTTTACTCTCCCTTGTTGAGTTTGTTCATTGCATTGCTTTTTGGCTTCTACATGAAAAATTTTGTTGCATCTCTACTTTGGTCAGGCTGATGTTGACAGGAACGGGACGATCGATTATGGCGAGTTTATTACTGCGACGATGCATCGACATAGGCTAGAGAAAGAAGAAAACTTATACAAGGCCTTCCAGTTCTTTGACATAGATGGAAGCGGGTTCGTAATGCAGTAGCATTCATAATAAACTTATACAAAGGTGTTTGATTGACAAAATTATGAAACTTGATTGTTAAATTTCAGATTCATCACAAGAGATGAGCTCAAACAAGCCATGACCCGGTACGAAATGGGAGATGAAGATACCATTAACGAAATTATCAACGATGTCGATATTGATGGAGTACTCTTCTTCCCTCTGATTTGTACAGCTGAATACATGTCTGATAGATCATTAGCAACTTCAAAGATTCAACTGTTCTTTTTTTTTTTTCCTCTTTTTTGCAGGATGGAAAAATAAATTACGACGAGTTTGTAAATATGATGACGAAAGGGACTGTGGAAGCAAAATTGAACTGATTACAGTTTACGGTTTGTAAAAAAGGAAAAGGAAAAGTAAGTTTGTTGTGTAACTGTATAGATATGAAATTGGTGGATGCAAATGAGGAATTGTTACAGAGTAAAGTAAATAATGTCTATTAAACTGAAAAGTTTTCTTCTCAACAATGCAAGATCCTGAATTAAAACTACACATTTTTAAAAATTAGTTTAGAAATAATTAATTAAATTTTTTTTACAATATAAAAACAAAATCTTTGAAGATAAAGATAACGACTTTTCAAAAATTTCAATACTACTCTAGTTCTTCATAAACATTTAAAAAATATCATTCAGCAAACCTTCGTTAATATTTTGAATGAAAAGTTTACGTGGAAAAATTTATAACCATGTAACAATTAACTTTGCTTGAAACAATTAGTTGGCACTGCAACAAATTTATTCGTTATTCGTTATTCGTTATTAATTTTTTCAGCGTCCTTAAATAATTGTTCTAGAGAAGCTTCCACCTCCCAAATCTTACTACATCAACTTTCTATTCAAATGGTATTTGTGAAAAGGTCAAGGAATCAAGGGTAGTATCGAAATAAATGATGGGCGTATTTTTTAAAACAAACAGCAAAGTTTGGGATAATTTTGTAATTTAGCCTATAATGTATCAAGCGTAATCCGGCAGTGCTCACTTGTGAATTGTGAGTCTTCTGAGATTGAACTTTGGTGCTAAACCCTGCAAAAACCCGACGCCCAGCCGGAGCAGACGAAACCTCACCGGAGAAGAATCCATTAATGGCTTTGATCAGATCGAAGCCAAATCTTCCACGCTTTCTATCTTCTCTCTCGCACCGCATTCAGAATCACCGTTCATTTTCATCCTCTCCTTCGATTTCAGAGGCAGATGCAGAGGTTCACCTTCAGAATCAGGACGAGGACGCGAGCCAAAGTCCTCAAAATGCCTCAAAACCCCTCCTCTCGCCGGAGGAAATGCAGACCGCCGATAAATTCTACGCCCTAATCAAGGAATACTATCGAAGAAACCCCAATCCCGATCCCACTCCACCATGCCCTAACTTCACCATCTCTGCTTTCTCCAACGAACTATCACACATCTCGGCCGTCCATTCCGTCTCTCCGGCCGTTGTTCGTCACGTAATCGAGAAATCCGGTGGAGTCCGCCATGGGATCCCCTTCCTCCAAGCCCTCGCGTTCTTCAACTGGGCGACGGCGCGCGAAGGGTTCCAGCACTCGGCCGAGCCCTACAACGAGATGATCGACTTAGCCGGTAAGGTAAGACAATTCGGATTAGCTTGGCATCTGATTGATCTGATGAAAGCCAGAACCGTAGAAATCACTGTCGAAACCTTCTCGATTCTTGTGCGGCGGTACGTGAGGGCTGGATTGGCGGCGGAGGCGGTTCACGCGTTCAATCGAATGGAGGACTACGGCTGCAACCCCGACAAGATTGCTTTCTCCATTGTTGTCAGCATTCTCTGTAAGAAGCGAAGGGCAAGTGAAGCCCAGTCGTTCTTCGACAGTCTGAAGCATAAATTTGAACCAGACGTCGTCGTGTACACGAGCTTGGTTCATGGGTGGTGTCGAGCAGGTGAAATCTCCGAGGCCGAGAGGGTGTTCAAAGAGATGAAAATGGCAGGTATTAGCCCTAATGTTTATACTTACAGCATTGTGATTGATGCATTATGTAGATGTGGCCAAATTACTCGTGCCCATGATGTTTTCTCTGAGATGATTGATTCTGGGTGCAATCCAAACTCAGTTACATTCAACAATCTTATAAGAGTTCATGTGAAGGCTGGTAGAACAGAGAAGGTTTTGCAAGTGTATAACCAGATGAGGAGATTGGGATGTGCTGCTGATATAATTACTTACAACTTCATCATCGAGACTCATTGTAGGGATGATAATCTTGGAGAGGCTATAAAGGTCCTCAACTCGATGGCTAAGAAAGGTTGCTCCCCCAATGCCTCGACTTTCAACCCGATATTTAGGTGTATTGCGAAGTCACAAGATGTGAACAGCGCGCATCGGATGTTTGCTAAGATGAAGGATCTGGGTTGTAAGGCGAATACGGTGACATACAATATCTTGATGCGAATGTTTGCGGAGTCGAAATCTGCTGATATGATTTTCAAGCTGAAGAAGGAGATGGACGAGGAGGAGGTCGAGCCTAATGTGAATACTTACCGGGTACTGATATCGTTGTATTGTGGGATGGGGCATTGGAACAATGCCTACAAGTTCTTCMGGGAGATGATTGAGGAAAAATGCTTGAAACCCAGCATGCCCATCTATCAGATGGTTCTGCAGCTGCTCAGAAATGCAGGACAATTGAAGAAGCATGAGGAATTGGTGGATAAGATGGTTGAGAGAGGATTCGCCTCTCGGCCGCTGTAAAAATCACCGTCTTCTTTCACATTCAAAGATGTAATTGCATTTGCAAAAACTTCGAGACAGGAAGTTCGTATCGTTTTTTATGCATCCTGAATTCTTTGGGGTCATTGTGTGGCTTCGTTTTGTTATTTGATCTGATTGAATTCTACAATATTCAACTTGACTCTCAATATCATAAAAAGTAATAGAAATCTTGAAAGATTGAATTTCTGAATGATGAAGGTGATGAAAAACTCCATTTTTTCTCGCACTTTAACTGGAAACATAAAATTTCAGCTGCCGATGAAGCGAAAGGATAAAAAATTGGCTCTCTTTATGAATGACCTTGCATATCCAACATCTCGTCTAAACGCTTCAAACTCTCTATTCCTTCACTGATCAGATACCTAACTTTCTGTTTGTCATTACAGCTGCGGTTGTTTTCCATTTCTTGCCTGATCGTATGCCTCAGTTCCTCTGTTCAAAATCAAAACAGACATTCTCAAGAATAAACCAAAACAACACCTTATCCAATTAAAGAACTGGGGAAACCTTTTTGAATTCAAAGAATTAAGCATAGACATTGGATCAACCCCATCGTTGTTAATGCTGATAAGGAAAATTCAAATGAACTTTGAAGATCATGACAGGAAAATTGTATAAAGAGTGGATGTTCATGATCAGGAGCTTAACCTCTAGCGTGAACAGGAGCTTTGCGAGCAGTTCTTAAAGCCTGCCTGAACAGTTTCAACACCCTTGCCCGTAGAATAAATTCATGTAAATCAAGGGAGACAACCATGGCGAGTTCTCTTCCACCTGAATAACCTTTTACATTGTTAGATATAGCGAAATAATTCGACTGTTCAAAACATCTTCCAGCGCGAAAAATCCAGTGTGGAGGAATTTACAGAACAAACAAATCGAGATTTCAAATAAGATCGTTCTAGACAACGTCAAGAAACGATTATCATTTGTCACAAACGATTTTGACGAACTTAATGGAGAACAAAATAATTAAGTTCAAAATGAACACTCCAGAATCAAGAGACTAGAAATTTGCTTAGTAGATTATCCAAACCGCTCAGCACAGAAATAACCGAGAGATTAATTATCGAACTAAAATTTCAGCAGAATCATATCACGTAAAAGCTAGGGCAAAATGCAAATTTCTTCGAAAGCGYACGAACTTACCTTAGAAAAGGGAAAGAAGAAGTTGGTACAATTTGTACAGTGGTCCACTGCAGATTAGATGGAAGTGAATTCCATGTCTGATTCAACCGGACGGAAGAAGACGACGTTCTGGAGTAGCCTGGTATTCGGCGAGTGACTCCAGAATTTTGGGATTCTTTGAAATCCTATCTGGACCGAAGCSTGGTATTAGGCAATTAGGACTCCGGAATAGTGGGCTTCTTTGAAAATATTTGGGCCATCAAAATATAAAACTTTTTAGGCCGAAACCTCGTATTCAGTAATTAGGACAACGGACTAATGGGCTTTCCTGTATGTTTCCAAGTGGGATCCGGAATAGTGGGCTTCTTTGAAAATTAATATTTTGATGGCCCAAATATATGGGCCGAATCGTGGGCTTATATGAATCATATATGGGCCGAAGCCTAGGATTTGACAGGTAAAGGTGTTAATTACCACTGTCTAAGCTTATGTTAATTGGTATATATCTTTTAAATAATATGTTACCACATCATTTATGGGGAGGTTACCTTCGTGGATTTATTTATTTTTCGGCTAAAAAATAAATTTAATTGTTACTTCCGGGCATGAGAGCTACAACTACAATAGAAAGAGAAGTTTCTTCATAAACCAATTTTCACCGTAATTTTACTCCACTTTGTATAAATATTGCAATATTTACATCTATTTGGTTCATTTATTTGATAATTAAAAAAAAAGGAACTTCTAAAAGTCATTAATTTCAATGAGAATAAAGCATGGTATGAAATTAAGCTTTCATCTGTCTACTATTAAATAAAAAAGATATTCCAAACTCACGACTTTCAATAAATTTTGTCTTTCTTAAAGCCCTATTGATTTTGTACTTAAATCTTCATTCTGTAATTTACTGAACATATATGAGATATATTTTTCTTAGTTGTTTTTCAAATAAAAAAAATTAATGTTTGTCAAAGATTTAGGGTGAGAATTGCAATGTTTATCCAAATATAATAATCAAGTTAATAAAATCACATCAATTCATAAAATTTGTATCATTTTTCATTAAAATAAAACCTATTAGTAGTAGGAATTTTTTTAAATGTAAAATTTTAATACAATTAATTTGAAAAGTTAGGAGTTTTGTTGATGGATAATATAGAGAGGGGAGTGATTCAATGAGTGCAATTAGACTTTTTAGTGGAGTAATTTCTGAGTTTGAATTTTGTCCCATCAATTAATTTAATTTCTTACTGAACAAAATTCTAATTCTTTGAATTCCATTTGTTAAAATAAACGTTTTAAATTTTACAACAGAGTACATACATATATATATATATATACTTTTAAAATTTCCCAATAAAGTGAATACCTGCTTATAAGATTTGTTTTTTAAAATTAATTTCAAATTTTATGATCTAGTGGAGATATTATTTCATGTTATAAATTCAACTAAATATTTAGTTCCTAACTGCTCCTAATTTATTTAAATCAGTAAGTTTTGAAGTTTCTTAAATTTGAGATTTAATTTTTAAATATGTTAAATAAACTCTATTTTTTTTTTATTTCTTCATATTTATGTTTTCTCATCCTAAATATTTTAGGAAGAACGGGTTCGCGGATGTCGCCGGCATAAACTTCTCGGGAACTTTAATATTCGTCATAAATGTCATTGGACGGACCAAATTTGACTTTAATTAATAATCCAACGTCGTTGAACATTTCGAAGTTATATTTTTCTTTATTTTAAAAAAGGAAAAATACCCTCATTATCATTTCGTAATCATCGTCATCAAAATTAAATTATTTTTCCATTGACAATTTCAACCCCAATGCTTATCAACAAACGGGACCTTAATATAAATATATAAAATGTTAAATTACCATTTTAGTATTCATGTATTATTTTAAATTCTAGTAAAAGTTAGATTGATTCTCCATTTAAAAAAAAAATTAAAATAAAATTATCGCTTGAACCTCTATATATTATATTCAATGAAACCATGCAACAATTTTGGTAAAAAAGGCTATTAAATTTTTATAACACCATAGATATTTTAGAAAAAGTTGACAAAATCATGGTAAATAAATTAAAATTATTTAAAACATAATCATTTGTATTTTTATCTAATTTATTTCTATCACAATTTTAATATAACATTGGTCGCTACTTTTTTGGAAATGTATCTATAAATATGTATTAAAAGTTTTTAATTATATATAAAAATTTATAGCTAGAAATTAAAATGACCATAAACGAACCTTTAGAAAGTATATAAATTAAAATAAATAGACAATCCAAATAAATCTTTTAAATTAAAATAAAAAAAAAGATCGAGTAAAAAGTCTAAAATAATATTTAAACATAAAAAATATTCCAATAATATTTAAACATAAAAAAATATTCCTTAGATAAGGTCAGTCACTGTAAATGCAATCAGTCAAAGATGGGAGTTGGAAATTGGAATTGGCTCTTACATTTTGGCCGACGTGAATTACTATTTAACTTCGACTTTAGATTAAACAACAATAATTATTTAAACGTGCCGTTACATTTCGGGCGCGTGCGACACGTCGCTTTTTATCTTTTTTTTTTAATTTTATTTTTATATATCGCCCCTATTTGTATAAATTTCATACACTGACTAATTCCTCCGTGTTAAGTGTTTTTTATTATAAAAACGTGTCATTTTGTTAATTCAATATTGGCTTCTTCATTATTGAATTTGAACAAAGAAAATTTCGAACATCAAAGGGAGTTTATGAATTCGTAACAAAAACTACAACTGAATCCCTTTGTCATTGAACAACTTGAAATTATTTCCATTGATTTAGTTTTTTWAAATTACTTAAAAGGTTTAAATTGCTAAATGAACATATTTTAATTAATCAATGAATTAATAGGCTGACTTATACATTTTCAAACCCTAGCTAAAATGAGATACTTCAAATAGTGAAGAGATTATTTACTTCTTTAAAAATTAATTTGTTAAGTACCTTATTTATTTTTTATCAACTAAAATTCTCAGTTTTCAATTTTGATATTTTTTCAAATTTAGCTTAAAAGTCGAAAGTATCTTTTAAAAATGCAAATTAAAAGAAAGAACCMAYGAGTCTGCAATTAGCTTCTGAAAAACAAAACTAAAAAAGCAAAACAAACGCTCATCTTTAATTATTAAGGCCCATTTTTAAACCCTATTCTGTATTCCAAATAAGAATTAATTTCAAAAAATATAAAATTTTTACTCAGAAAAAAAATAAGAATTATTTTTCAAAAAAAAAAAGCATACAAGGAAAAATAAAATAAACGCTAGTGGAGGAATGTTTTTGTATTTTCGTGATTATTTATATATCCGAATATATTATTTAATAAGTAAATGAGCGAAATTCGACCAATTAGCAGCTAGCCGGAGAAAGTTTGCTTGGTCAGCGCTTCAGGTTTGACCAGACGACGGAACCTTTCTTCGTTAAAAAAAAAAATGTCAACTGATTTTCGAAAAGCCAACGCCAATTTCTCCCTTCTGTATATAAATTGCTTCCCGAAGCAACGAAAATTTCAGTTTGCAGAAAAATCATGGACAAACAATCCAAGCCCAGAAGCAAAATCATGAAGCTTCTCCCCAGAGCGGCCTCCGCCGTCACTTTTCATAACCCGCCGTACAGTCCCGGCCGCGGATTTTCCGGTCCGGTGAAGATCTCGATCATACCCAACGAAGCGCGAACGAAATCGAAAAACTCGGGATTCGAAACGCCGGAGCCGACTTCGCCGAAAGTTTCGTGCATCGGCCAAATCAAGCACAAGAAAAGGATGAAGGAATTGGCCAAGCGCACGGCGAAGGTTGAAATTTCAGAGCCGAAGAAGCAGCATCCGTCGGCGGTTAAGAGAATACTCACCGGCGGTAGAGTTCTCGGGAGGGCGAAATCGAACGTTGCGGCGGGGAATCTCCGTGGCTGTGAGAAGCCGCCGCCGGCGCCAGTTCTGGGTCTGAATCAGATGAAGCGATTCTCGAGTGGACGCGGCGCTCTGGCGAATTTTGACTGGACGGCGCAGATTGCGCCGGAGGAGGAGGAGGGAGACGGCGGCCGGAGCCCTATATCGGCGGTGGTATGGATAGGTGAAGAAGTGGGCCCACTACAACCGAGGAAGGAGGTGAACCTGTGGAAAAGAAGAACCGTAGTCCCCCCCACGCCTCTTCAACTCAACACATCAAAATAACTTTTTTTTTTCTTCATTTTACGCAGAAAGAAATGTAAGAATATTTAATTTAGTTTTTATTTCAAATTTAGGTTTGTAAATTTAAAATGGCAGTTTGTTATTTTTTATTTTATAAAAACATAGAAATTCAGTTGGGTGAATCATACATTTTTGTTTGCATAAGATTATAAATATAACACACTTTAATGTTCATTAGAGATGCCTTAATTAATGGGTTAAAATTTGCCATTAGTGAATTTAACTAAGTTTGTGATACAAATTAGAAAACACCGTAATTTAGAAAATTTCATAATATGGTATTTTAAAATTCAAGACATTATAAATATGTTAAAATATAATAATTCGTTATATAATTATTGAACAGATATCCTGAATTAAATTTTGTGTCATAAAATCAGTCACGTAAATTCGATTTGAGGAAAACCATTTTTTAGTATTCCAAAAACACCTGTGACATAATAATTTTATATTTTGATTTAAATTTATTAGAGCACTTTTTTTTTTTGAAAGAGTTTATAAGAGCACTTTTGAAATTAGGAAGTACACAGCTTTGATGAAACTGTAGAAATATACACATTAATTTGAATAGCTACTTTTTTTCTCTTAGGGTATGATATAATAAATAAAACTTCACCTATCGTGAAAATTACAAAACTAGCTAGGCATTAAAGTATAAATAATATTCATTTAAAAAAAGTAGAAATAATATTTATAAATTAATTAACATTTTATATTGTTAATTTTACTATTATTTCAACGATTAAGTACAATTAACTTTTAAAAAACGTCAATCAGAAAATAGCTTATTGGAAGTTTAAATCTCAACATTCACCAGTTGTTGAATAAAAATAAAGAAATGTATTAATTACTCCAGCTGTATTATTTTATATAAACTTTATTATTACNTTTTTTTTTTTTTGTTAATAGAATATTTTATATGAGCTTTATAATACGGACCCTTGATTTTCTTCTCAATAGAGAGGAACTGGCGCTGGGTGTTGCATTTACTAAGTCAAACAGATAACGGTTATATCCGTCTCTCGCCCTGAATCGGACTTCCGAAATTACGAAAACCACCCTGCTTGCGTTGTTTCAAACTTCAAAGCTGCAGCAATGGAGAGGGGAAAAAGACAACTTCAAAACAATAAACAATATGAAGATAATTATTTTTATATTTAATTACATCCGATAAACAATGTATTTTACATTACAAGTATGTATATATTTTTTTTAAAACAATTTAATGGATAAGGTAATATTTACCTTACCTTTGATTATATATATATATATATATATATATATTAAGTAGCTATTATTTTAAAATTACTATATACAATTGATATAGTCTGTCATCTTAATTTCAATTGCAGAAATAGTTTTTGCTGTCTGCAGTCCTCGTAAAACCTATTATTTCTATTGGAGTTCTAGACAAAATATCATATTTTCAAATTTGATTTTTGATCAATTAGGATAAGAATAAATTGTAGGGTTATTTTTTTCAAAAGTTAAAAATAAAAATAAAAATTGTGTAGTTATTGCAAATTTTTTTAACAATAATGACATGTCATATAACAAATGAAAACTTATAAGGTAAGAGATTGAATTATTCAAATTACAAAGGCTACGATTACAACTGTCATATCATATCTCACGATTAAAGTTGTTTTTCTTCTTAAAAATTTATGTAGACCATATATCATATTTCAAATTCAAATTTGGCTAAAGGCTAGTATGCCTCATCTTGGAGATGGAGTGGCCAAATTGTAACCATTTAGTTGCATGTCCTGTTGCTATTATTCTTTTCAAAATTTAGACCAAACATCACATATATTTTAAATGCAAATTTGACCCAATAGGTAAATTAAGAAAGTATAGTCTCCAATTATTATCCAAGTCTCCTATCTATGGTTCAAGTCGTATRGTTAGGTTAAGTACAAAGTACGGATTACATGCTTTATATTTAACTAAGTGAACTCGAATTTTCGAAATACAAAAAGTAAGGTTTACTAAAGATCTCSTATGAAAAATATAAAAAGACCTATCAAGATTTGTAAGATTAATCATCTTTTTTTTTTTTTGAGATTCTTAACATTCCTCGAGCTTGTTGGATTCTGGGATTTATAGGTACACCTTACTAGTGAAATTGATCTTGGTACAAAATAAGGTTGGATAATCGAGCATTAAATAACTATGCAAAAATTAAATTATCAACAAAAAGGAAATTTAATATTGCTCTAATATCCCATTTGTCTGAAATTCCATTAATTTTATAATTCTTTGAAACAATCGAAAACTATATATATATATATATATATATATATAAAGGGTAAAAATTCAACATATTCAACGTTTTAGGTGAAATTTGATGTGATTGAAAATTTTTAGTTAAAAATGGATACATCCAAATTTGAGGGAAAACTGAAAGGTTGATTTTCCTTCCCTTATTATTATTATTAATATCTTGAAGAATGCATAATGAGACTGGGCGTGATTGTCGGAAATCACGAGGCCAACGAAGATTAAAACATTGATAATGCTTTGTTATGAAAATTAAAAAGAAAAAGAAAAAAAGAAGACGATTGTGCTTTTTTTAATATAAAAAGCTATTAAGATAATAACAACGTTTGGTACGGTGCCTTTTAACCCTTTTTTTTTTTAGAAATACCTTTTAACCATTTTTTTAAATAGTAAGATATATTTTTATATTAGATATTTGAGTTTGTTTGTTTTTCTCTATAGATGGTATTTTAAAAGGCATCGTTAGTCTCCAAATTTCAAAAAAATAGTTCTAAATGATTCATGAACTCATTTTATCATTAGTCACAGATTATGTGACGATTACTTAATTGGACGATTTAACAAATTATATTAATTTTATATTACCTTTTTGCTTTTGAGACTTGACATCTTCTTAGGTCCAATAATGGAGAGTTCCCTTSGTTTCAACCAGATTGATGATGGCTAGAGATAACAGAGACAATTAATTCAAATCATAGTGATGCTAGCAACAAGCTTTGACGAGGTGGGAGGGAATATCGACATTGACATCCACCAAGGTTGCCAGAGGAGAAAATAATAACAAATAAAGAAAAAAAAAGTCATATAACATAATCAAATCAACCAAAAAAAAAAAAAATTTGTCTGAGTGGTGTATAGACATATAATTTATCGAGGGAGCGAAATCAATCAACAAGTAATTGCCACATTTTCTTTTCATTAATTACATTAACAATGAATTCGGAGATCATTTAAGATAAATGGACATTAAAAAAATTATTTTAAGTATATTTTACCCAATAAAAAAAAAAGAATGTTATTCATATTTTCAATTTACTTTGTACTCCAGGTGTATTTTTCTCAAAAAAAAAAGAAAAAAAAAGTATTTAAAATTACCAAAAGAAAAAAAAAGTAAAGAAATAACATCCGTATTTCTTATTTTTCATTTTTATGTTTCGAAAATCAAATGTGTTCCRTAATATTTTTTTCCCTTCTACTGAAGGTTTCTTAAATTTGACAAACATTTCCTAAATTATATATAAAAATATAGAAACAAAATGATTATTTCTAATTTTTATTTCTCGTGTTTTGATTTTTAAAATCATTAATAAAATCAGAACTTCTTTTAATTTTTTTGTGTTGCTATCAAACAATGAAATTCCTTCTTCTTTTTTTTCCTACTTTTTAAACTTTAATTTACGACTTGTATTTTATTTAAATGCAAAGCAAAAGRTAAGAGTTTCTTTCTTTCCTTTTTATTCCCTCCAACATTAAAAAGACACTTTAAAAAAGATGTCAAAAACAGCTCTTATTCTTATCATATTCCTCTATTATTATATTATGGACATCAAACCAACATAAAAAAAAAAAAAAGGTTTAAAAGCCACTTTCAGAGCAAATTGACGTTTCTGTCATTTTTCTTTTGTAATTTTTAATTTAAACACTAATGAAAATTTTGTAAAAATCTCTTTTTTTTTTTGGGAAAAAAAAAAGAGGTTATAAATCATAAGAACACTGTTTCTTTTTTTCTTTTTGAATGTATAAAGATTAAATTATAAAAGAAAATATTGTACAAAGTAGAAGCCAAACTCGACTCTTTTAGTAAATTTGAGTTTATATATTTCAATTTGTATAATTCTATCCCCGAGTTAGGTAAAAAGTAAATTTAAAACATGTGAATTTTATTTGTAAAAGTGAGTAACATTAAATATAGGCTACAGTGGTCTAACATGACGATAGCTCTTTGATTTAAGCATTTCCTTTTTTTTTAAGGTGGAATATTCAAATACTAAAAAATCAAGATCTAAACTTGTAATTTAGAAAAGAGAAACTCTATTGTCTGATTATTAGATATTAGAAATGAAAGTTGAAATCGAAGAGAAAAATAAAGAAATTTTGTTAAACCGAGTTGATTAGTTGGTCGRTTTGATTGGATAAAATTTTAATTATTCTTACACTAATTGATGGGTTCTTAGTTTAAATGAGTCAGGACGAAGAAAGAATGAAAAATGGGTGAAAACGAAAGTGGCGGGCAGTGGGGCCGAGGAGGTAGCACCACAACGCTAGAGGACAGTAGCACGATGGCGCTGTATCGACTTTATGAGTTTGCAGTTTTCGCGATTTTAGGGTTCATACCTTTATAGAGTCAATATCTAGGAGATGGTATCTCCTAGATATTGAGTAGCACCACAACGCTAGRGACGGTAGAACGACGACGCTATATCGACTTTATGAATTCGCAGTTTCGCGATTTATGGTTCGGACCTTTATAGAGTCAATATCTAGGAGATACCGTCTCTTGAACCTGCATCTAATTCAACCAAAGCATACTTCACCTGATTAATCTCAATCTCATCATCTAATGAAATTTAACAAATATAAATTTTAGCTTAAATTGGTGAATCACTTGCTAAGTAAAGTTAAAAATAAATGAATAAGAATCAGCTAAGCAAGCACGTTGCTTTCCCCCTTCATGCCATGTGCAAATCTGGCTTCTGTCCAGACTCCAGCCCACGAAACCCAAAATAACAATAATAATAATAATAATTAAAATTGTCAATATCTGCTGACCTGTCTTCCTTTTTGTCCTCTTTAATCGGCAAATATTTCTCAGAATCTTTATACAGCTCACAAGATTGATTATTTAGACCCGTGGGTCAGTTTTTTCATTGCTATTTTTCTCTAATATGGGTTAAATTAAATATAACCTTTTAATTTCCGAAACTATTATATTTTAATTAATTTTTTCTTAACCCAAAACAATTGTCTATTTTGCTTTTTAAGCTAACCCATCAAAAAAGAAAAATTTATAATATTTAAGCTTCCGATAAATTGTTATTTATCATTATCATTAATTTTTTTATAAATTATTTAAAAATCCTTATACATAAGGGAAGGAGTAAATTTTGTTTTAATAAAATTAACAAAACATTAATAACAAAAATTAAGAAGGATAACATAGCACGTTCAGAAAAAATTAGTAATCAAAACAGCACATCAAAATAGAATTTAAATAAATCTACAGTAAATATATTGCAACAATTATTTTCCTAAAAATAGTCTCTCCTTCATGCTGTGTCTATCCACCATTTTCTACCTAGCATTAAATAGACTAATCATTCATCCAAAATCAAATATTTAAAAGTAATTTTAATTTATAACGCGTGTGGCCCTATTTCATTTTTACGTCACATCCACTCAAGGAATAAATACGAAACTAAATTAAAATATTTTAAATTAAAAGAAAAACGAAGCGAAACCAAACCAACAAATAATATATTTTTT